CTTGACTTTGTCAGCAGCGAGGGGTAAATGGAGACACCTGGGTTACGGTAGCTAGAAATCGGTGTCAGCGTGGGACTGGCGGGTTCTAATGGGGCACCCGGGGTACTGCAGGAAAGTCTGCCTTGAAAACCTTGACTGCCAGTGCACTGTCTCTGTGTGCGTCACCGAAGTGGATTTGGCCTGGTGAGCACCGCTGGTGGGTACTGGAGGGTCAGCAGGCTTTTGTCCGGCCTCTTCCGATTTCAAGAGGCCGCCTGCGCTCCTTGGCTCGTGGCCCCTTCCTGGTCCCTTCTTTCCTCTTCGACATTGGCAGTGCCTTCGCATCTCTCCCCGACTTTCACCCTGACTCCTCCTCTTCCCTCTTACACTTATCAGGCCCCGGGTGGCTACCTTGGGCCCACCTGATTGTCCAAGCCACCTGCCCTGTCTCCAGGTCTAATGAGCAGTAACCCTCATTCCACCTGCTCCTTAACCAGGTAGCATGACATGGCACACATGCCAAGGAGTAGGATGTGGACATTCGGACAAGGTATTATTTTGTCTACCACATCTATAACTTCACTAACCAGGAATAAACACAATTAACATTTTTAGTAAGAAATGCGTCCCAGCCCATTTTGTAGGCAGATGTATGAGAGTATTTCAAACATTCTGTAGATAAGTGAAATTAAAAGGTAAGTTCATCTTGGTGCCAAAAAAATTTGATATCCACATAGATGTAGACTCCTCAAAAACTTTATGGAGGGGCCAGTGCTGTGGCACAGTAGGTTAATCCTCTGCCTGCGGCACTGGCATCCCATATGGACGCCAGTTCTAGTCCCGGCTGTTCCTCTTCTGATCCAGCTCTCTGCCTTGGCCTGGGAAGGCAGTAGAAGATGGCCCAAGTCCTTGGGCCCCTGCACCCACGTGGGAGACCAGGAAGAAGCACCTGGCTCCTGGCTTTGGACTGGCAAAGCTCCAGCCCTTGCAGCCATTTGGGGAGTGAACCAGCAGATGGAAGACCTCTCTCTCTGTCTCTCCCTCTCACTGTCTGTAACTCTGCCTCTCAAATAAATAAATAACATCTTTAAAAAAAACTTAATGGAAATGCATACCATAAGAAACTATGCATGATTTCATTTTTTGGCAGCAAAATAATGTTATCTTTTAATTGCATACCCCACAGACTTTTTAAAGTACTCTTATGTATAAGCCATATCTATATACATCTATATAGGTTTGTGGATCTGTAAAGATTGAATGTTAATTGGATATCATATCATTCTTTAGCCACTCGCTTTTCCGCTTGATATGTGTATATAAGCATAAATGCCTGCTCATTCGCTCTGGCAGCTGCTGCATTGTTACTTTGCTGTGAGAGGCTTTGACTGTCTGCATATGTTACCCCAGCACTGAACGGGCGCTGCATCCCCACAACAATCTAGGAACTCCCGAGAGCTCCTTCTGCCTGCTGCATCCGCTCAGAGATGGAACGTGAGGTAGCTTCAGGCAGAGGCTGTCCCAGAGATGCCACATCCGGTAGGGGAGGGACCCACGCTCCTAACCAAATCCAGGCCGCCTGTTCCACTGCATGGATGTCCCATCCACAAAGCAGCGTCCTACCACGGATCACTTGGACGGTTTGCTGTTTTTCATTATTTGTAATGGAACTGCAACAAACAAGTTCGTATTTATGTCCTTGGACACACCTGTGACTATTCCTTTCACAACAGTTCCCCAAAGTATTACTGTATGTTAAGGCTCCTCATTCAAATTTTCCTCCAGATAGGGAATAATTCACACTCCAAATTTCGATACTTCAAATTCCTTTTTTAAAATATTTTTTTAAAATATTTTTAAAAGATTTATTTATTTATTTGAAATTCAGAGTTACACAGAGAGAGAAGGTGAGGCAGAGAGAGAAAGAGAGAGAGAGAGAGAGAGAGAGAGAGGTCTTCCATCCGCTGGTTCACTCCCCAGATGGCCTCAATGGCCAGAGCTGCGCCTATCTGAAGCCAGGAGCCAGGAGCCAGGAGCTTCTTCCAGGTCTCCCACGTGGGTGCAGGGGCCCAAGGACTTGGGCCATCTTCTACTGCTTTCCCAGACCACAGCAGAGAGCTGGATCAGAAGTGGAGCAGCCGGGACTCAAACAGGCACCCATATGGGATGCTGGCACTGCAGGCAGCAGCTTTACCCAATAGGCCTCAGCACCGGCCCCTTTTTCAAATCTTAATACTATCACAAGGACAATGGATACACTGCTTTTTCTTTGAATGCTAGTGAGGATGAGCATTCTTTTAATAAGTTTCTTAGGAATTTTTTTTCTTTTGGGAAGCATTTGTTCATATTATTTTTCCAGGTTCCGTTTCAGAATTAATAAAGTTCCTTTTGAAAGGATGAGTTGAGTTTTATAAAGGGCATCTCATGGAAAAGGAAGCAGGACACAAACCTGAAGCTGAACATTTCTCCCAAAGAACGATCAGGGAAGATGTGTTAAAGACAAGAAGGGAATTAGAAATGAAAATCCTATAGCAGTTGCAGTAAATGAGGTGGACTCCAAATTCCTGCTTAGGGATTAGTCTTCATTAGCAAATAGAGAGTGATGTGATCCAGGCTGGGTACAAGGATCATCTGGTGTCACTATAAATTGACCTGCAGTCCTGACTAGATGTTTCCAGAAGAGAAGAAATTGTCACAGTGGAAATGTGTGATAAGAGTTACTGAAACGGGACCTGGGGGAAGGGGGCGGTGCTGTGGCATAGCAGGTAAAGCTGCTGCCTGGGGTGCTGGCATCCCATATGGGTGCCAGTTCTAGTCCCTGCTGCTCCTCTTCCGATCCAGCTCTCTGCTATGGCCTGGGAAAGCAGTAGAAGATGGCCCAAGTCCTTGGGCCCCTGCACCCACGTGGGAGACTTGGAAGAAGCTCCTGGCTCCTGGCTTTGGATTGGCACAGCTCCGGCCGTTGTGGCCAATTGGGGAGTGAACCAGCGAATGGAAAACCCCTCTCTCCTTCTCTCTCTCTCCCTCTCTCTCTCTCTCTCTCTGCTTCTCCTTCTCTCTGTGTGTAACTCTGACTTTTAAAAGAAATAAATAAATCTTTAAAAAAAAATCCGGAGTTCAGGGAGCAGTCACAACTCCAGTACTGCCCACGGGCCACACTTGGCGCTGAGCAACTGGACTGCTGGCACTGGCTGGCCTCGGGCTGCTTCTGGAACCACCACCTGCTGGGACCTACGGTCCACGGAGGCCTGAAGACACTCCATTCCTGGAGGCAAAGACTGGACGGCTGCCTGGCCTGCTGCTCTCCCAGCTGTGTCTCCTATTGGTGGAATTCGTACCAAAACCAGCTGCTGGGGGTGTTTGGAAACGGAGTCTGTAGGCTTCTTGCACTTGCCACACGGAGGAGCACACAGCAGAGCAGGAACAGCTTTGGACACCAATCGACCAAATACAGAAAATAAAGGGTGGAGAGAGGCGGGTGCCTGCAGACGGTGTCCAGGGCCACTCCCTGGTGAAGGGGACCTGCGTTCTAGAAACCGCGCCGCTGTTGCTGCACGTGGCCGCTGTGAGGCACAAGGCTTCGGGGCATAGCTCAATATCCTCGTTGGCAAACGGGCTATAGCACCGGCCTCCGGCAATGAGGATGAGGTGCGAGTGTGGGGACAGAACGTTCAGCGTTCAGAAGGTTGCCTGGGACATAAAGGCACTCAGCGACCGATAAATGGTTTCTTAAAGATTTATTTGAGGGCTGGCGCCATGGCTCACTAGGCTAATCCTCTGCCTTGTGGCGCCGGCACACCGGGTTCTAGTCCCCGTCGGGGCGCCGGATTCTGTCCCGGTTGCCCCTCTTCTAGGACAGCTCTCTGCTGTGGCCAGGGAGTGCAGTGGAGGATGGCCCAGGTGCTTGGTCCCTGCACCCCATGGGAGACCAGGATAAGTACTTGGCTCCTGCCATCGGATCAGTGCGGTGCACCGGCTGCAGCGGCCATTGGAGGGTGAACCAACGGCAAAGGAAGACCTTTCTCTCTGTCTCTCTCTCTCTCACTGTCCACTCTGCCTGTCAAAAAATTTAAAAAAAATTTAAAAAAAAAATAAAAAAGAAGGTTTCCTGGGACATAAAAGCACTCAGCGTTTGATAAATGGTTTCTTAAAGATTTATTTGAAAGGCGGGGTGACAGAGAGAGGGAGAGACAGAAAGAGATGGAGAGGTAAAGAGAAAGAGATGCCTTCTGTCCCCTGGTTCACTTCCCAAACGACTGCAATGGCCGGGGCCGGGCAAGGCTGAAGCCATGAGCCTGGAGCTCCATCCTGCTCTCTGACTTGAGTGGCAAGAACCCGAGCACTTCAAGCCATCCTCTGCTGCTCTCTCAGGCGTGTTAGCAGGGAGCTGGATGAGAAGTGAGCAGCCAGCACTCAAAGCACTGGGATATGGGATGCTGATTTTGCAGGCGGCAGCTTAACCCACTGTGCCACAAAGCCACTCCCAAAAGCTGTTGTTACTCTTGCCATCATTCATATATCAATTTCCATATCTGTAAAGAAAAGTTCAGAAGGGGAGATTAAACCCCCTTGCTTCTCTCTAAATAGCAAGAGGGAGGGGAACTACCTGTGAGACTGCACCTCACCCTGGGCTGGGGTTTGGAGCTGCAGATAAAAATGATATTTTGTCCCGGTCATCAAAGAGTTTACGGTTTGAGGGGAAGACAGGCAAAGACAGGAAAACCACTGAGCCGAAGTAAAATGTCCTTAATGACGGATGATAGATACAGGGGAGGTTCTGAAAGCGCACAAAAGACAGACTTTGTAGATTCATACAGTTTCCACTTTACTTATTTATTTATTTATTTTCCCCCAGAAACCTTTTGTTTAAGGAATACAAATTTCATACACTTCATAAGTACAACTTTAGGAGCAAATTTAAATCCAACATCCAACGTCTTCCTCTTGTGGGAGAACCAAGGCGTAGGCACCCAGGGGCCCACCGCCAGGGGGCGCCCGGGGGAACCCTCGGCGTCCTCGTTGCCCCTGGCAACTGCTGTCTTCCGCTGCGGCCTCGGAGGAGCGGGCGGGAGCGGCAAGATGGCTTTGAGCTCCTGGACCAAAGAGCTTATTGCGGCAGAGAAGCTGATGCGGGAGGTGGCCGTCTCCACCGGCCCCTCCCTGGAGCTCTGCACCGTCCCCGCCAGCCTGGGCTCCTCGGTGGCGGCCGGCGCGCTGGAGCAGCTCTTTGCCGTGGGTGAGGGGCTGCGGGTGCGGGGAGGGACGTCGTCCCCCGGGCCGAGACCGAGCCTTGTCCTGCCCGCTGCGGGCTGGGGAGAGAGAGGCGGCGCGGGGCGGCCGTGACCTGACCCAGGCTGTCCTGGGCCTGCGCCCTGTGGGCTCACGTGCGTTTGGATTTTTGCATTCGACTTCAGCGAGCTCCTCCTGCCCTCTCTGTGCCGCGGCAAGCTGGAGGGCTGAGAGTTCGTGTGTAGGAGGTTCCTGTTGCGTTAGGCAAGAAAAACCGGACAAAAAAGGACATTTAGGAGATTGCAACGGAAAATGGCCTTGAAAGGAGCTGGGGCAAACTAATTTTTCGTTAGAAAGCGGAACCTGTAATCAAGTTTCCTAAGTCTGAGATCAGAGTAGTCCAATAAAGGGCGGTTTTTGTTCAGCCGGAAACCCAAACCCGGGGGGGGGGGTGGGGGGGGTGGGGGGTGGGGGTGGGGGGGTAGGGGGGTGGGGGGCTCGCTCTTCCACTCTGCCTCACTGGTTCAGAAGAAGCCTATTGGTTTGCTACAATGTTACTGATGGTTGGGGCAGTTTCTTATTTCCTTCTTAGAGGAACTAGTTTTATTTCGCAATTCTTCTCACATAGGCTTGCACAAGAATTATCCTAAGGAACCGAAGTTACTTAGGGATATCCACGGTCACTGGCAGTGACCTTCACCTTTGACCCTAGACCACGTGGCCCTTCAACCCTGGTCCTTATGCACAAATAAAAAAAATTAATGGAGCATGTAGCTCTCCAGCTCATTGGCAAGCAGGAAAAATTACTTTTATTCAATCAGTAAAGAGAGAGAGTGAGTGTGCACAAGCAGTGCCTGCCCCTTCCTACACGCTCGCTGGCACGCTCACTGCTGTTCCCTTGGTTTGAGTGCTTAGCTCAGAGGGCCCCAGGTTCCCTGGAACTGAGGGTAGGTACAACCTTTGGAGACCATGGCCTTGGAGCCACACCTCCGGAGTTCGAATCCAGACTCTACCACTGATCAGGTCAGCAACTGTGCAGTTATCTGACCTCCGAAGTCTTAGATTTCTCCCTTGTGAAATGGGAATTGTCGGAAGGTCATAAGGAGAAAAACAGAGACAATACCAGTCAAGCATCAGTCACATCAAACTCGTTTCACACGGGAAGCTGCAGGCCTGGCGCCCCGGTAGACCGAGCCCGCACCATGCAGTGCGGATCAGGCCAGGTGCCCAGAGCTGCCTCTGTTTCCTCTTCTCCTCCTGCCGTCTCCCTGTGCCGTCTGTTTCTTGTCTTCTTTGTACCTGGCCGCACTTCGAAGGCCTCTCCTTTCCGATGCCTTCAAACAAAGCGATTGGAAAGCACGAGGGTGCTTCAGAAATGTCACCAACAGGTAGAATTAAAAGATATTATTTTGGGGGCTGGCGCTGTGGCATAGCAGGTAAAGCTGCCACCTGCAGTGCCAGTACCCCATGTGGGCTCCTGTTCAAGTCCCAGCTGCTCCACTTCCGAATCAGCTCTCTGCTGTGGCCTGGGAAAGCAGTGGAAGATGGCCCAAGTCCTTGGGTCCCTGCACCCATGTGGGAGACCAGGAAGAAGCTCCTGGCTCCTGGCTTCGGAGTGGCCCACCTCCAGCCGTTTTGGCCAATTGGACAGTGAACCATTGGATGGAAGACCTCTCTCTCTCTCTCTCTCTCTCTCTCTCTGCCTCCCTTCTCTCTCCGTGTAACTCTGACTTTCAAATAAATAAACAAATCTTTTAAAAAATAAATAAAAGATATTTTGATGAAAAATATTTGGAACTCATGAATTGTTTTTTCATAATACATTTTTTCATAGACTTTTAAAGACCCCCTAGGATGCACTGATTTTTAAAAACATTTGCACTGACATTAACTTTTATTTCATTTTCCACAAACTTTTTAAGTACCTCTGTATGTCAGTGAATGAAACTCTGTCCACTTCTCCCTTACCCATTTTACAAATACCCAATCTCATCCCGTGCTTCATATTTTTTAACAAAAGTAAAAATGACAATGGAGGTTTTTTAAAGTTAACTTCAATATGCTTTTTTTTAAAAAAAGATTTATTTATTTATTTGAAAGAGTTACACAGAGAGAGGAGAGGCAGAGCAAGAGAAAGGTCTTCCACCTGCTGGTTTACTCCCCAAGTGGCTGCAACAGCCGGAGCTGCACCTATCCAAAGGCAGGAGCCAGGTACTTCTCCTGGTCTCCCATGGGGTGCAGGGCCCAAGCACTTGGGCCATCCTCCACTGCACTCCCGGGCCATAGCAGAGAGCTGGGTCGGAAGCAGAGTGAGAGTGGGAGTGACCGGGACTAGAACTGGCACTCATATGGGATGCCGGCACTGTAGAGAGCATTTAACCTGCTACGCCACAATGCTGGTCCTGAGGAGTTTGTCCTTAAGGAGCATAAAATGTATAGCAAACTGAGAAGACTATCACATAGGAAATTACAAGTACGAAAGAGATTTATGTAAAGTACTGTAGGAATTCCGAGGTAGAAGATGGGCCTTGCAGCTGGGGGATATTTCAGCCAGATCATAGACATAACCATGATTTGGACAGATAAATAAAAGATTTAATTTTCTTTCTCTTTTTTTCCCCAGAAAAATCACTGAAAAGTGACTATTTTAAATGCAATAAAGAAGCTGGAATCTTTCTTAAGGACATTTCTGTAGCCGTGAAGAAATTGGTATCGTATTATCTATATGAGCTATTTTTCTAATCTTTCACTTAGTTTGCTGCAAAAAGTTCATGGAAAATGCATGTGATGAAAAAATTATTCATGGGTTTCAAAGGATTTTTTTCATCAAAATAAACTTCTTTTAATTCCATTTTTTTCCATGAAACTTTTTAAAGTCCTCTTGTGTTTCTTCATCAGACTTTCACTTAGCACCAACTCTGTCCAAGAGACTTTAATAGATGAGGAGGGAAACTTATTGGAATTTTAAAATGTTGTCCTCAGTTCATTTAGTATTTGCGCCAGGACTGATCCGCTGTAGATGCTTCCTGGTTTTCCATGCAGAGCTCTGGGCCCGTGCAGGGAAGGGCAGTCTATCTGAGCAGTAACTGAGCTCCCTAAAAGGTGGGCCACGTGGGCAAATGTGTGGGCCACCAACTTGTAAGCAGTGTTTAATAATCAACAGACAGTCGCTGATTCATAGTGTCTGTGGGGCCAGTGAACCATTCTGCACAAGCAATGCCTTGTAAAACTGGTAAAAAGTTGACATCTGTTCACTGCTTAGACTGCTCTTAGCAAAAACAAACTTTCAGTTAACCTGGCCCCTATCAAAGACCTGTTGAAGAAGTAGCTAAAGCAATGTCCTAGGGCGTTGTGGCACAGCAAGATAAAGCCACCACCTGCGACACCACATCCGATCAGAGTACCGGTTCAAGCCCCAGCTTCCTGCTGATGTACCCAGGAAAGCAGTGGAGGATGACCCAAGTCATTGGGCCCCTGCCACCCACATGAGAGACCCGGATGGAGTTCCCGGCCCAGAGAGTCCGCCTGGACCAGCCCCAGCTGTTGCAGCCTTTTAGGGGAGTGAACCAGGGGATAGATGATTGTACTGTTTTAAGTGTTGTGAGTTGTTTAAAATGTAACTTAAATTTTCAGGAAGAAATGAGAAGAGCCACAATCGATCTTCTGGAAATTGAGAGCATGGAATTCAGCAGGCTGTACTTCCTGTTGGGAACTCTACCCAATACCATTAACAAGGAAGTGGAAGGTGCTTTGGGGGTTATAAGCTGTAGATGTTTAGTTTATCCTATAAGAAAATATACCAAATACTTATAAGAGGATGAATTAAGTAGCTGTTGCTTGGGTAAATATAATTAGAAAGAGCACACATCACAAACACAAGGAGACCCATCTATTTTAAGTGGAAGCACCATATATAAAACTATGGGATGGCTGTTTGGCAGTGTGGTCAAAAGATGTGGCTTGGGACACTTGCATCCCATGTCAGAGCGCCTTGGTTTGAGTCCCTGCTCTGTTCCGACTCCAGCTTCCTGCTGATGTGCACCCTGGGAGGCCGCAGACGATGGCTCAAGTACTTAGGGCCCTGCCACTCTCATAGAAGACTCAGACTGGGTTCCAGTTTCTTGTTTTCGCTCGGCCCAGCCTGACTGTTTGCAGGCATTTGAAGAGTGAACCGGTGGATGAAGGACCTCTCTCTTTCTCTGTGACCCCATCCCAAGACCTCGCTTTCAATTCTTTTGGATATACATGCACAACTATTCCTTGGCTTTATGATGCTCTACTTATAATTTTTTTAAGATTTCCCATAATGTTTTCCACAGTGGCTGCACTGTTTCTCATTGCCACCAGCCATGTACCAGGGTCCCAGTTTGTCCATGTCCTTGTCAGCACTTGTTACTACCTGGGGTGTTGCTAGGTTTGGTGTTTTTTGTTTGTTTTTGACAGCCACCATAATGAGTGTGAGATACTATTTCATGTGGTTTAGGTTTGCATTTCCCCAAAGATCAGTGATGCTAAACGGCTTTTCCTGTGCTTATTGGCCACTGTTATACCTTCTTTGGAAAGATGTCTGTCCAGGTACTTTGCCCATCTTCACGGAGGCCGGTTTTGTTATAAGTTGTTGTTGAGTGATAGCAGTTATTTGTGCGTTAGAGATGCTAACCCCTTACTAAATATGTGATCCGTAAATATTTTCTCCCATTTCATGGTTTGCCTTTTCATGCTGTTGATAGTGAACTTTGAGGCCCGCAAATTTGTATTTTTGATGTAGTTTAATTATTTTTCTTGTGTTGCCTGTGCTTTTGGCATCATATCCAAGAAATCACTGCCAACTCCAACTCCCATGTCATAAAGCTGTCCCGTGTTCTCTTGTGAGAGTTTTATGACTTTAGCTTTCACATGTGGGTCTTTGACCCATTTAGAGTAGAGTTTTGCATTCGGTGGTGCAGACCACTCTGAAGTGTCGTCCGCGTCACAGCTCATCACACGCACAAGCAGCCAACCTCCCTCTCTGCCCAGCTCTGATTCTCGTATTTCCTCACAGCAGGTTTTCCAGACAGTACTGCACAATAAATTCTCTACACACGGAAACTCTGTTTCCCAGGGAGCTCAGCGGTGGTTGTTTGGCCTAGCAGTTAAGACACCAGGTGGGATTCCTGTACCCCACCCTGGAGTGCCTGGGTTCTGTGCCCACCTCTGGGTCCTGCTAGCGCAGACTCTGGGAGGCAGCAGGTGGTGGCTCAAGTTATTGAGTTTGTGCCACCTACATAGGAGACCTGGATTGAGTTACCAGCTCCCATTTTAGCTGGGCTCAACCCCGATCCTTATGGACATCGTCGGAGTGAATCAACACATAATCTGTCTCTTTCCCTCTCTTTCTGCCTCCCAAATTAATTAACTCATTAACTAATATAAAAGAACAACCTTAATAAATGACAAAAATTTAATAGTGGATGTCCCTCTGATCCATCTGTAGCCTCTCGGCTCCAATCTCCACTTCACTGTCTGCGCTGTGGTAGGGGAGCTGGCCCCTAGGCATTGCCCCTTCATTAGCTTTGTCAGTGCAGGGCACTAGAAGGACTCGGAGGGGAGAGGGGCTATCTTCCTGGCTCCAGTGCGCTCAGACTTGCACACTTACAGTGCATGTGGTTTGTCCAGGCCAGGATCCTGCGGTGCCCAGCGTCTGCCCTTCAGGTAGCCCCCTGGTGGGATGCCACCCGCGAGGGGCCTCTCTGTGAAGGGCTTTCTCTACCTGCCCTGGGGAGCACCGCAGTGAGTTCTGAAGTGTGGCCCCTCTCCTCGGGCAGGTCTTCCAACATGTCGGAGAGCAGATTTCCAGCAGGTTCCAGCAGCCCAGCATTCCACGACCTGCTTTGCCCTCTCGGGTTTGGAAGTGCTGCTTCCTCGAGCACTCCAACTCAGCCCATGGGATGCCATCTGCTCCTTGTCCCTGTTCTCTCTGAATTCTTTAGGGTTCTCTTTGCTTTTTGCTACCCATCACCTCATTACTCTAAACCTGGGTTGCAGTTCTAGTTTTCCTTATATTAAAGTTCCCCTCTTGTGTGTAGTCCTGGGTCACTTAACAATGATGCTACGTCTGGGTGTTGCACTGTTAGGCAATGTTTTTGTTGTTGTGCGAGCATCACAGCACACGTACACAAACCCAGATGGTGCAGGTCAGCCACTGGATACTGTCTCTTGTTGTGATCAGCAGACGTAGTAAACACCAGAAAGATGACAGTGCAGCTGGTGTAGTGCAGAATACTGTTTTATAGCCAACTTTGACTCCAAATTAATGATAAACAGTACAGTAAATACTTACGGCAGTAGCAGAGTCCTCTGTTATCAATGTCAAGTGTGATGTACTCTGCAGAGGTTCTGCACTTTCATATAACCGGCAGCCCGGTAGGTTGGTTTCCACCAGCCTCACCACAAACCTGCGATAAATGCATTGTGCTAGGACCTTCTGGTGGCTACAGTGTCACAAGGTAATAGGAATTTTTCAGCATCATTGCAATCTTTTGGGATGCAGTGCATACTGGTGTGTCATTGACTGAGTCTTGTTGTGTGCTGATTGACTGTACTATGGGAATTCTATCTCCTAATTAGACACCATATGGTGCAACAGATTATACAACAATACACTTGGTGTCTAATTTGACAGGGAGATTATAACAAACTGTATGTACAGAGAAAAACAAGACATAGTAGCATCTGCACCAAAGGTAGAATAAAGAGGGTTTCTGTTTTGTTTCCTTTATTTTCCAGATTGGGATCTTTTTATAATCAGGAAAAATGCTATGGAAGTGGAAAATATATGAGCTTCGAAGCTCCCTGATACCTGCTGAATACTTAGCCAAGTAATTTAATTGGCCTTTTGTCATATGGTCTTGGCACCTGCAGCCATCTGCATGGGCAGGGTCTGAGAGCTTGTTAGAAATATGCAGAATTTTTGAACCCCCCACCATCAATATTGTAGCAGAGTCTGCATCTTAACAGTATCCTCAGGTGATGTACTCATGTAGACATGTTTGTGTTTGTAAAACTTTGCTACAAAGAGCAGTCTCACTTGTAACTTGGGAGAAGGGGGTGGAGAATTGCCTAGCTCACCCAAGGAAGCTAACAGCCAGTTTCTAGGGAATCTGTCTGTGATTTAAAAATGAGTAGTCCAGCACCTTTCTAAACAGGTGTCCAAAATTCCAGTTTCATTCATGGTTGTTCTTTAAAAATATATATATTTATTTATTTGAAGGCAAAATTACATAGAGGCAGAGACAGAGAGAGGTCTTCCATCTGCCGGTTCACTCCCCATATGGCCGCAACAGCCAGAGCTGGGCTGATCCAAAGCCAGCAGCCAAGAGCTTCTTCTAGGTCCCCTATGTAGGTGCAGAGCCTAAGGACTTGGTCCATCCTCTACTGCTTTCCCAGCCATAACAGAGAGCTGGGTCGGAAGTGGAGCAGCCGGGACTCGAACCGGCATCCATATGGGATGCCGGTACTGGAGGCGGCTTTACCCACTACGCCACAGGGCTGATCCTACAATAACTTGTTCTTAATACATTGAGTTTCCCGAAAGGCAGAGTGTGGAGCGATGGCTTTTGCATTATTACGTTTTAAGGGAGCGCAATTCAAAGAGCACCATGGGATAAGGAGACAGAAGCAAGGAAGAAGAGAGAGCAAAAACAGGGATGGGAATGAGGCATTATAATGTTTACTGCTGAGGACTGCATCTAGGTAATCATAAGAACAGGTCCTCGAGACCCAGTGCTGCCCCTTCTCAGTATCGCCAGTCACGTGAGGAAGGGGACCAATCTGTGCCTGGACTCCTCTCCGTCATTGGCCCGATGTTAGTCCCACCCTCGCACTTCCGGCTCACGCACGCATGCTCGTTAAGTCCCACGGTACGGGAACAGGAAGGCGTAGGCCGGAAGTGAGAAGTCCTCGGGCGGATCAGAGCCCAGTGTGCAATCTGTTCAGGGCTTGTGCACAGCCGGTCACGGCTGCAGGCGTGGAAACAAGAGACACGATTAATAGGTGAGAGTGAAAAGAACCAAAGAGGCAAGTTAGAGGCATCGGATCCAGACACATACTTAGAAGGATATTTCAGCGGCAGGCGTAATTTTTTCAAGACTTGAAAAGTCAGCCCCTAACCATTGTGCGCCCTCTCAAATAATTCAGTAAACTTTACGTTTACTTTTAAGAATGTGTCAGAGATGCTCGCAGATTAAATCTTCAGGAGATCAATGAAATACAAACAAAAATCAGAAAGACGAATAATGAAATAGAGTTTTTGAAGATGAAAATCATTGAACTGGAAGAAGAAAATGAAGACTTGGGGTAAGTTACTTTTCTTTTTTCTGAAATTTGATGTACTTGATGGGGGTCTGGGAGTGGATGGCGAAAATTGTCCTAAAGGGTTGGCCCTCTGAGGTGAGCCGGGGCGGGGCGAGTGAGGAGGGGGAGGTCACTTTTGGAAGATGACTCAGGCTGCTCTGGCCGGCTCAACCATGGCAGTGCAGGGTCGGAGCGATCCAGAACTGCTGTTTGTGAATCACGCACTGGCTCCGATGCGCCCTGCATGGTGGATCTTTGGCACAGTGGCTACGACAGCTCCTGGGGTGCTCACGTCCCATGTCGGAGCGCCTGGGTCCAGGTCCTGGCTTCACTCTAGAGTTCAGCTCCCTGTTAATGCATCCTGGGCGGCAGCAGGTGATGGCTCAAGAACTCAGGCCCTGGATGGAGTGCCTGGCCCTGGCCGAGCAGGCATTTGAAGAGTGAACCAGCTTTCTCTCTCTCTCTCTCTCTCTCTCTCTCTCTCTCAATAATTGCTTACATAATGCAGAACAGTATTCCCTCCAAAGGTAGAGGCTCAGGATGGATTTAGTTCCCATTTTTGTTTATTTAAGTTTACAGACGCCCACCAGCAATGCAAGGAATCTTGCAGGAACCATATTGGAAATGAAACCTCCAACCAGGTCCATTGTATTCAGTTCCTTAAACATATTCAGTCATACTTGCTATCTTCTGGAGGGCAGGGATTGGATGGGCTCCCAGGAGAGGGTTCCACATTGTGTCTGTAATTAAGAGACAAACTATGTAACAGCCTATAGCTCAGGATCTCACACCTCTTAGTTTCCTTTATTCTTGAGCTGTGTGGTCTCAGACCCCTGGTTTACCTGTAGTCCTTAATTATTCTATCTATAAAGAGGGAGTCAAACTTTGATTACCCTATGCAGATCCTTCTGGGAGAAAAAAAAATGAGTTGAAGGGTAGCTCAGTGCTGTGAACAGATTTGCAAAACTAAAGCATAAGTGTCAGAATGTTGGTTTTCTGGAGTGAGGAATGTTCAAAGGGCCCTCACTGCTGGGAGAAAAGCTTGCAAAGCTAAAACGATCAGAAGATTGCTTGGTGCACAGATAGCAAAGCATTCGGGACTGGAGGAGGCCTGAAGGCCTAGGGACACATTTCCCAGACCAGGCCTGAGCACCTGCACTAGGAGATGCTCCACGACCACACAAGTTTCGGAAATGGAACCCTCGATGCAGATTTGCTCGTGGTGTGTGCCAGCCGCAGTTGCCGGGGAGTGTCATATAAACGAATCTGTTTCTGCACCAATGGTAGGAATAATAATACCCAGACTGGATATTCCTTTCAACTAGTTAGCAACATCATAGCCCTGCAGATCAGTGATTCTCAAAGTTGAGTGGGCATCTGAAACACTTACCCTGCTTGTTGAAACACATTGCTGAAACCCACTCAAGAACTTCTGAGTTAGCAGACCTGTAGAGTGGAGGGAGGGACAAGAATTTGTGTTTCTAACAAGTGTCTGGGTGATGCTGGTGGAGCTGGACAGTGGTGAGCGTCTCCCTTCTTCTGGCTGGGTAGTCCTTGTGTGTGTTCACCCCAGGCCCGAGATTCTGTGTGTGTGCTGTCCTCTCAACCCGTCACAATGCACCAGGCGAGGGTTTCTGCTTCCCCGAGGCTCCTCGGTCCTTAGGTTGAGTCACTCCTGAGGGCTTCCTCTGCGGGTCCACAAAGCACCCATTGTCTGACACCTTCATCGAGCCTCCCACCTGAGCTGCTTTTCGTTGCATTGCTGTTGCAGAGTTCCACCTCTGCATCATAGACTTCTTGACAGCCTGTTTCTATTGTTCTGAGCCTTCAGTCACACACAACCCTTTTGGGTCTAACCCTGGGGACTAGACAAGGAAAAAGAGCTTTTCTATTCTGGAAACCTTTCAAACTGAAATTGGAGAAAGTGATACCAATTGCCACTCTTGAAAATCTTTGATTGTTAGCCTCGAGGTTGACATTTCTCCCAACATGGAGGTCTTCAGATGGACATGGCTAGCAGTGGATGTGTGACATTAATGACTGCTGAGCTCGGATGTGGCTGCAGCTGGGAGAAGATAAGATGATGCAAGTTAGGGCTCGGGCATCCAGTGAACAGCAAGGGTGGAAGGCTGGACGCAGCCTCCTGTTTCTCTGGTGTCTGCCCAGAGGAAGCCCAGCCTTCTCCTGGAGCAGCTGGAGCTGTGGTGGGATAACCACCTTTCTTTGGCTTCACTACCCAGCCCAGTATAGGAAGATAGAAATGGCAAGGATGGCCGGCGCCGCGGCTCACTAGGCTAATCGTCCGCCTAGCGGCGCCGGCACACCGAGTTCTAGTCCCGGTCGGGGCGCCGGATTCTGTCCCGGTTGCCCCTCTTCCAGGCCAGCTCTCTGCTGTGGCCCGGGAGTGCAGTGGAGGATGGCCCAGGTGCTTGGGCCCTGCACCCCATGGGAGACCAGGAAAAGCACCTGGCTCCTGGCTCCTGCCATCGGATCAGCGCGGTGCACCAGCCGCAGCGCGCCGGCCGCGGCGGCCATTGGAGGGTGAACCAACGACAAAGGGAGACCTTTCTCTCTGTCTCTCTCTCTCACTGTCCACTCTGCCTGTCAAAAAAAAAAAAAAGAAAAAAAAGAAAAAGAAATGGCAAGGATGCCCATCAAAACGCTCCTCTGGCCAGATGCCACTGACTTTTGAATCGCTCAACACTGTTAGGCACAGTACCCTGCACTTACTGCCTGACATGTTGGATGGATAGGGTGAGGTGGGTCATCATTTGTCAGGTTGTTGCTTGTTTAGTATTTCCTTCTATTCTCTTCTCAACCAAGTTTAACCATCACAACCACAATTAGTATCCCTTGCAATGTCCTGTTGAATGAGGGCTACCTGGCCAGACAGACTTTCTTTTTTCCTTTTTTCTTTTTAAGATTTATTTATTTATTTGAGAGGCAAATTGACAGACAGAGAGACAAACAGAGAGAGAGAGAGAGAGAGATCTTCCATCCACTGGTTCACTCCCCAAACAGCCACAACGGCTGGAGCTGGGCTGATCCGAAGCCAGGATCCAAGAACTTCTTCTGGGTCTCCCATGTGGGTGCAGGGAACCAAGCACTTGGGCCATCCTCTACTGCTTTCCCAGGCCATCAGCAGAGAGCTGGATCAGAAGTGGAGCAGCTGGGATATGAACCAGCTCCCATAGGGATGCCAGTGCCCCAGGTGGAGGCTTAACCTACGATGCCATGGTGCCACCCCCTCAGACGTTCAGTTCCCTTCCTAAGTATGGTTCTCTTCACTCTGTGAGCATTCTTGTGCCCCAGTGAAAAGCAAGAAGAGCTGGCAGGGCGGTATGAGAAGTTTGTCACGGCACTCAACTACGCGTTGGAAGAGAAAGCCACGGCCACTGTTTACATAAGTGAGACTTACACCAGAATCAGCTTTGAGAAAGAAGAAATAGACTCAATAAAAAAATGCATTAAAGAGGCAGAGGAGGAAATAGAAAAGCAAAAAGCAGAGTATTTGACAAAAAAACAAGCTCTGACTGTACAGGTAAATGGCACAATTTATTATTTTTTACAAATACAGAATTGTATAGACTCTGGGGCAGGAAATAGAAAAGAATTTATTTGTCTGTGAGGCTGGCACTTGCTCTCCATTACTCTGCCGAGAACACTGGGATGGGACTAGAGTGGGAGACCCAACGACCCAGTGAGCCTCTTGGGAGTGACTTTGGTCGTGTCTCAGCTTGTGGTCCCCGGAGAAGAATGTAAGTGACAGGAGCTGTAACACTGAGTAGCCCCTTGCTCACATGCAGCCATAGAGGGATGAGGAGTTTGCCTCCACCTTAGCCAGTTGCCCTTGACAGTCCCCAGGCTGAATCTGTGTTGACAGGACCAGGGAGTGCAGACCAAGCAGACAGGGCCCCTGTCCACAACTGCTTCACCTGCTGAATAAATCAGAGAGGAGTGAGCAGCGTGCAGAGGGGCTACACACAGTCAAGGACGTAAAGAGAAAACCATGTTTTAAGGCCCACAATTTTGTGGGAACATGGATAACTGCTAAATCCTTTTCTGCTCGTGTAGGGACTGGGCTATCTGCTATGCCATCCTGTGGGGAGCAACTCAGACTAGACTAAGTTACTGGAATTAAGACTTATTCTATGCATCTGCTCTCCCACAATATGGCGCTGGGAGAGGAGGAAACAGCTTCTACACAGCTGCCTCCAGTTCAACCAATAAACTGTAGGACTTACTCCTGACTGGAGGAGAGCAGCGTACTCGCGTGTGGGTAGCAGAGTTGGGATTGGTGGAAGAGGACTATAAAGGAGGAGAGAGACAACATGCACCAGGAACATCTAAAGGGAACATCTATCTGAAGGAACACCTGTGCAGCCCCTGAGAGAGCCGGCCGGCTGTGTGCCGCTCCCCTGCGGAAGTGGGGAAAGTGGCCAGGGGGAACCGCCCTTCCACGGAGGTGGAAGGGACGGCAGCCAACCCGGGAAGGGCCGAACAGACAAAAGAACAGTGCAGGGTCCTGTGTCGTTCCTCCACGAAGAGGGGGAGCGACATAATGGTGCCGTGACTCGGATATGAAGCCTAGGCAGGGTTTAGTGTTGTTCCTCCACGAAGAGGGGGAGCGACACCATCCTAATTGAAATTCCCCGTTCACTGCCCACTTTCACCATTGCAATTCAGTATAGTTCTAGAAGTTTTAGCCAGAGCCATTAGGCAAGAAAATGAAAAAAAAAAATGGTGGGGGGAGGATACATATTGGAAAGGAGGAAGTCAAGTTATCATTATTAACAGATGCAATGATCCTATACGTGGAGGAACCAAAAGATTCCACCAAGAGACTATTGGAACTCATAAGAGAGTGAGCAAAATTGCACATCAAGAAATCAACACATAAAAATCAAAAACCTTTGAATATATAAACAATGCCATTGCTGAGAAAGATCTTGTAAGATCAGTACCATTCACAATAGCAACCAAAAAATTTAAATGCCTTGGAATAAATTTAACCAAGGATATGAAAAATCCTTACAATGAATATTACAAAACATTAAGTAAAGAAACAGAAGGAACCAGAAAAAAAAAAGGAAAAATCTTCTGTGTTCATTGGATTGAAAGAATTAATATCATCAAAATGTCCATGCCAGTGAAAGCAATTTACAGATTCAGTGCAACACCAATCAAAATACCAAGGACATTCCTCTCAGATCTAGGAAAAAAAAGTGTGTTAAAATTCATATGGAAACACAAATAGCAAAGCAGTCTTAAGCAACAGAAACAAAGCTGTTTCAATACCAGATTTCAAGATGTAATACACGGGAGTTATAATCAAAACATCCTGGTACTGGCACGAAAATAGACATGCAAGCCAGTGGAACAGAATAGAAACCCTAAGAACTAATCAACGTCTACAATCAACTAATCTTTGACAAACAAGCTCAAACCAATCCCTGGAGAAAGGACAGTCTTTTCAACAAATGGTGCTGGGGAAATTAGAGCTACACAGGCAGAAGTATGAAACAAGACCCCTACCTTTATACAAAAATCAACTCAAAATGGATCAAGGATCTAAATCTATGACCATCAAATTACTGGAGGAAAGCATCAGGGTAACTCTGCAAGACATTGGCATAGGTAAAGACTTCTTGGAAAAGACCCCAGAAGCACAGGCAATAAAGCAAAAATAAACACATGGGAGTATAAGCTAAGAAGCTTCTGCACTGTAAAGAAAGCTTTCAACAAAGCAAAGAGACAACGTACAGAATGGGAGAAAATATTCACAAACTATGCAGCTGATAAAGGATTAATATCCAGGATCTTAAAAAAAAAAAAAAAAAAAACTCAAGAAACTCAACAACAAAACAAACAATCCAGTTAGGAAATAGGCAAAGGACATGAACAAGCATTTTTCAAAGGATTAAATTCAAATGACCAATAAAAGCATGAAAAAATGCTCAGGATCACTAGTCATCAGGGAAATGCAAATCAAAACCACAGTGAGGTTTCACCTCAACCCAGTTAGAATGGCTATCACTCAAAAATCATAAAGCAGTAAATGCTAGTGAGGATTTGGGTAAAAAGGCACCCTAATATGCCATTGGTGGGAATTTAAACAAGTACAGCCTATATGGAAGACAGTATGGAGAGTTCTCAGAAGTCTGAAAATAGACCTACCGTATGACGCAGCCATCCCACTCCTGGGAATTTAGGAATTTACCTAAATGAAATCGGCATATAAAAGCGTTATCTGTACCCCGTGTTTATTGCAGCTAAATTCACAATAGCAAAGATATGGAATCAACCTGGCGGTCTTTCAGCTGATGACTAGGTAAAGAAAATGTGGTATACATGCACTATGTAATACTTCTCAGCCGTAAAAAAGAGTGAAATCGTGTCTTTTGCAACAAAATGGATGCAACTAGAAACCATTATACTTAGTGAAATGAGCCAATCTCAAAAAGACAAATATGTTTTCTCTGATAAGTGGAAGTTAATATAGAGTACAAAAAAATTTTTGTTTAAAGATTTATTTTTTATTTGAAAGAGTTCAGAGAGAGAGAGATAGAGAGAGAGGTCTTCTATCCGCTGGTTCACTCCCCAGATGACTGCGATGGCTGGAACTGCGCCAATCCAAAGCCAGGAGCCTTGAGCTTCTTCCAGTGGGTGCAAGGGCCCAAGGACTTGGGCCATCTTCTAATGCTTTCCCAGGCCATAGCAGAGAGCTGGATTGGAAGAGGAGCAGCTGGGACTAGAACCGGCACCCGTGTGGGATGCTGGCGCTTCAGGCCGGGGCTTTAACCCGCTGCGCCACAGCGCCGGCCCCAGAGTACAAAAAATTTGTAGGAATAATGGACGTCTTGTGACATGATTGTTGTTTTTAGTCCTTGTTCATACTCCTGTGGAACTGTGATCTTCCTACTTTTTGCTTGTTGAATATGAGGTGGTGAATTAAGCCTATGATTATAGAGTGGATTAAAATGATGTCTTTGCAAAAATTAAAGAGAAAGGAAGGTGGAGGATTAAAGGAGAAGACTGAAGAAGATTGAAGTTCTAAGAAGGTTATCTTCTTAGAACAGTACCTATGAAATCTGTTCTTTTTATATTAATAAAATCTTTAAGAAAATTTAATAAAAAAAACTCCAATGAGTTTATAAAGAAACAAAAAGAAATTCCCACCTGATGATTAAACTCCCGTCTTCCTCGTCCTGCCTCGGTCACCCCAGGAGACAGAGGGCTGTCTCCACATTAGCTGTCCCCAGCAGCAGCCTTTGTTCTCCCTGTGCAGGGCTGGAGCAGACCCCACGGTCAGAGTTGCTGTTGCCCTGTCTGCAGTGGGAATTGGCATAACCTCAGGTTGCAAATGCAGGACACTGGACGTGGGCCTGCCTCATTGCTGTATAAATAGGAAGACAGAGAAAGCCAAGGGGGTCAGGAGGGCGGGAGGGAAGAAGGAAAGGAAGAAGGGCATGTGTTACATTGCTTGAATCTTGATTCAAATTTAAAGGAATAAAGTGTGGCAGTAACAGTTTGATTCCTCAGGCAGCAGATTCCATGATAAGATTTGGGCTGTTTGGCAATTCCAATCAGTTCAGCTTCTTTATCCTAAAAAGTGCCTGCCTCGTCAGAAGTAGTTTTCCGTGAAAGCTAAGCACACTTCTCCCTGAGCGTAGAAAGCCCCGCCCCAGTCCTCCTGCGGCAGGCATTGCCGTATACCTGGGGCAGTCTCTCTTAGCCTGTGCTGCTGCAACACAACACGTGAAAATGGGTAACTTGTAGCTAATGGCAATGTATACCTCACTGTTCTGGATAGCCAGCGAAGGCCCAGTGGGTCCAGAGTCTGATGGGCCAGACTCTGCGTCCGCAACGGTGCCTCAAATGCTGCCTTCTCCAGAAGAGAGGAACACTGGGTCCCCACACAGTGGAAGGAAGGCATGGAAGGGCAAGAGGCCTGGCTAATTTCCACAAAGTCCTTGTCCCACTCCTAAGGACCCTCATTCATGACTTAGTCACCCAAGTCCCCACCTCTTGATGCTGTCGCCGAGGCGGTCGGTAGCTATTAAATGGAATTTATAAAATGTGGACTCCCTGGATCTCTTCTGGGGTTGTTACCCTGGGCTGCAGTGCTTGAACAAATTGAAATCTGTCTCAAAAGTCCTGCAGGGCTCCTCTTACTGGGCGAAACCTTTCTTGGGTTTAATGTTAGCAAATTGAAATGGAGAGTTCAGGACAGCAAGGGCCAAAAGGGATCTTACTGCTTTTTGTATTCGTTTTTTATTTATTTGAGAGGCAAGAAGGGAAGGAGAGTGTTCCCATCTACTCATGCACTCTGTAGATGCCTGCAGCAGCCAGGGCTAGGCCAGGCCAAAGCCAGAAACTCAATCCAAGTCTCCCAAGTGGGTGGCAGGGACCCAGGCACTTGAGCCACTGCTTGCTACTTGCTGGGATGCGCATCAACAGGAAGCTAGAATGAGAAGTAGAGCGGGGACTCAAGCCCAGGCACTCCAATGCGGATGCAGGCATCCCAAACAGTGTTTTAAATGCTGAGCCAAATATCTACCTCAGCTTTAGCCACAGCATCGCTGAGCAGCGTCAATATCACCTCCACTGTAATATCACCTCCTCCTCTGGCCAGGACTCTGTGCTCTCTGAATAGCCCAGAGCCTTGCCCAAGTTGGAGTGGCTCACTTACATTACAGGAACTGAGATTATGGTGTCTGTGTGGGTGCAACTGGACGAGGACTTCCAGGATGGGGGAGGGACAGCAGGGGTGGGACACTGTCGCTCGTCTCCACTTCTCCTGGCAACAAGCCAGTAGGTCAGGGGTTGGTTTCCAGTATGAGTCTTCCAGCAGGCAGACTTCACAGGACAGGTTTGTGTGTTTTCATCTCTGCTGTCCCCAAGCGCTAAGAACAGCAGTAGCTGTGTGGCTTGTAGCTGGTTAGGCCTGCTGTGTTACTTCATCGAATGAATGAGTTTCAGACTTCTTGAGACTTACAGGGAAGTTTTTTTCCCTTCCTAATTTTTTTTCCCCAAAAGATTTATATATTTTATTTTAAGGAGTTAGAGAGAGAGAGAGAGAGAGCGCTCCCATCTACTGGTTCACTCCCGAAATGGCTGCATTGGTCAAGGCTGAGCCAGGCTGAAGCCAGGAGCCTGGAATGACATTTAGGTCTCCCATATGGGTGACAGGGGCCATCATCTGCCGCTTTCCCAGATGCATCAGCAGGGAGCTGGATCAGAAATGAAGCATCCGGGGCTTCAACCGGTGCTCACAGGAAACCCCGACCTTACAAGAGCCAGCTTAACCCACTACGCCACAGCACTGGTCCCCCCCACTACTCTTTAGTATAAACGTTAAGGTGCAAGAAAGGGAGCCCAGAGGGACTTCCTATAGGGACTTTGCAAACATGAGATCATCTACCTTAGTGCTGTATCAACAGTCTACTGGGACCCACAAGCATTTTCTGAGAAGAACCAGTGTCTCACAGATTCACAACTCTGCCACTTTAACATGGAAGTAGCCACAAACAACACCCAGATAAAGAAGTGGCTTTCCACACCCAGGTGGTGGCTGAATGCTTGCCTAATCCTGGTCTGCTTTCCCAGAACAGAGCCGTAGGCAGGATGCTTTCCGGGTGGACGGCCGAAGGCCTGCCTTATTTGTTCCCCCACACAGTAAAACTCCCCGGATGCAGAGACCTGGAGAACTCTGAGGTGCAGGCTCCCCCCTCTTTTCTTCCACTTTTCAATTCACTTCCTATGAGGAAGGAAAAATTTTGCTAGATGTCAGAGACTCTTCAGACCTGTATCATGTCCCATAACGCGCGCGCGCGCACACACATACACACACACACTCTTTTGCCAGTAGTGTTTCCGTAACTCTGAGACCTTGTAAGAAGGCAGACTTCCTGCTCTTACCCCAGTGTGTTAATGACCACATTTCATTCACGTGCATGTGAGCCCTGGTGCGGAGAAAAGGGTGATGACCACGTCCATTCGGAGTAGCAGCTTCTGGCTCTAACGGAGAGCCACCTGTTCATACGTGGTCACAGCTCTCATACAGAACGCAGTGTGCCTTTGCTTCTGCTTAGTTAGCCGCTTTGTTCTTGACCTTCCGCTTTGCAGACAGGTGTGTCCCTTTGACAGAGAGTGGCTCACTTCATTAGGGTCTGAAAAACAATCAGAACATGTTTGAGCTTGTTAAAGTGACAAGAAAGCTGCTCCGTCTTCAGGGATTTTCTTTAGTCAATTTTATTTCCCACTAAATAATGTGAATTTCTGGCCCCCAGACAATCCCTTGGGTCCTCTGTCTCAGCACACTGTAAATGTTGTAAGCATTACTTTATGGTGTTTTACTAGAAAATCATCACAGTGACAAGTGATTTCATAATTCATTATTAGTGGTTTTTCTTATTGTTTTTGAAAGTTTACTATTTCAATATTCTATAATTACAGTTTGGTACTTGTGGTTCACAGTCCTTCATGTGATATTGCCAAAAAAAAAAAAAAAAGTAAACTGTGAAGTTATTTTGCTTTTTACTTGTTGGTGTTCTTAGATTGAGTATGAATTGTTAACAGTTTTTTTAAAATTTCCCAACTGTGTGTGCTAATAGATTTTTAACTAGTTTATTGTGTTTGTCACTACAGATTGAAGAATTCAAAAAAATCTGTGAGCTTAAGAGAAAGGAGACTTACAAAAAGAAGAAAGAATTGGATAAATTACTAGCTAAAATGTCAAAAGTTAAAGAAATAGTTACCATCAGATCAGTGGTAAGAAAAAACTATATTCTCTCAAAGCTGACATAGGTGCCTCAATAAAGAAGGATTTGACTTTAATTTATCTTTTAAAAAAAAATCATCTTTTTACCATTCTAGAAGAATGTCCTTGACATGTTGACCCTTCAGACACTTTGCTTAAACTGTTATAGTACATTTGTGTTTCCTTCTTCCTCAAGAATATGGTGAGAAGAAAGAGAATGCTTAGGTACAAATTGTGTTTGATGGACAAGCTACTGTGGAAATGCTGATTAAAAATACATGTAGAACTAACCAGAGATGATGATGATAGGAAGAAAACTCAAACGGCCGTGGAGGGGTGGGAATTTGGTCTAGCTGTTGAGACACTGATATTCCACATCTGCTCAGTACCTGGCTCTGGCTCTGCAGAGTAGGGAGTGAACTCTGTCTCTCAAATAAATGAACCAATATTTTTGAAAATTTATTTATTTTATTTGAAAGTCAGAATTACAGAGAGAGAGAGATGGAAGATCCACTGGTTCATTCCCCAAATAGCCGCAATAGCCAGAGCTGAACCAGTCTGAAGCCAGGAGCCAGGAGCCTCTTCCAGGTCTCCCACAAAGGTGCAGGGGCCCAAGCACTTAGGGTCTTCCATTACTTTCCCAGGCCATAGCAGAGAGCCGGGTTGGAAGAGGAGCAGCCGGGACTCGAACTGGCGCCTTTATGGGATGCTGGTGCTGCAGGCAGTGTCTTTATCTGATACGCCACAGTGACAGCCCCTCTATCCTATTTTTAAAAAGAGAAAATTGAAGTTTATGGAGGTGACTACAATTTAAGTGATTAATGTTAATAACACTTCACTAATTAAAACAGAAATGTCTGTTAATCTACCACAATTAATTGAATCAGTGAGTCTTCAGTGTATTTGTCTTAGGTACTTTGATAATCACATGCGAATCGTTACTGGTGCAGCAGTAACACTGAAGCATCCATTTCTACCAGAATGCTGTTTAACCCGTTATCCTTTATACAGGGTGGTGTTGCTCATTATACCAATTATGATATCCAATCACACAACATTAGTAAAATCACTTTTTCTCCCAAATATGTGCATTTAGAGAGATCATTCTCTGATTTGAGATTTCAGCGTGGTAAGGATGTTTCAAAATAGGTCTGACTGGGCGGAAAGGGGAATGCAGAGGTTGTGTGAACACACTCCATCCGTGTGGCCTGGGAGTGCTCTGGGGAAGATGCTGTGTGAGTGGCTTTCACCCACAGGCCACTCTCACCCCACCCGTACTCCAGGGCTAGCAGCTTAAATACTGTGTCCAGGGGAGTTCTGTCAGCGGGAAGAGGGATGTCTTGAACCCACTCTCAGCTCTACTCCCTCTCACCCAATGAAGTGGAATCCCCAAAGCTAATGCGTTTGACCTCCCTTTTCTTTTTTTTTTTAAATTTTTTTTTTTTTTTTTTTTGACAGGCAGAGTGGACAGTGAGAGAGAGAGACAGAGAGAAAGGTCTTCCTTTTTTGCCATTGGTTCACCCTCCAATGGCCGCCGTGGCCAGCGCGCTGCGGCCGGCGCATCGCGCTGATCCAAAGGCAGGAGCCAGGTGCTTCTCCTGGTCTCCCATGGGGTGCAGGGCCCAAGCACTTGGGCCATCCTCCACTGCACTCCCGGGCCACAGCAGAGAACTGGACTGGAAGAGGGACAACCGGGACAGAATCCGGCGCCCTGACCGGGACTAGAACCCGGTGTGCCGGCGCCGCTAGGCGGAGGATTAGCCTAGTGAGCCGCGGCGCCGGCCCTGTCCTCCCTTTTCTTTATCCCAGAGCAGCAAAATAGCTGTTTCACTTTGAATTTTCTCCATCAATTCTTCCAACTTATAAATCGTGCTAACATTTTCACAGTATTCCATCCTAAATATTGATTGAATATTCAGAAATAAAAATTCTTTTCCATGTGAACATAGCTATCAACTGAAACAAAAGATGCAATTTGTTTTTATTTTATGTAATTCTCATTCTAGTATTCTGGGATATTACTTTGAAGATGATGATGATGGCATTAATTTCTTTAATCTTTTTTTTTAAAGGTTATTTATTTGAAAGTCAGAGTTACATAGAGAGAGGAGAGGCAGAGAGAGAGAGAGAGGGGTCTTCCATCCGTTGGTTCACTCCCCAAATGGCCGCAACGGCTGGAGCTGCACCGATCTGAAGCCAGGAGTCAGGAACTTCTTCCCGGTCTCCCATGCAGGTGCAGGGACCCAAAGACTTGGGCCATCTTCTACTGCTTTCCCAGGCCATACCAGAGAGCTGGATCGGAAGTGGAGCAGCCAGGTCTCAAACAGATGCCCATATGGGATGCCGGCGCTTCAGGCCAGGGTGTTAACCCACTGCGCCACAGCACCGGCCCCAACTTGTTTAATCTTTTAAAATGGTAGACAAAAGGAATTCTTGTCTGAAAACCTTTTTTTTTTTTGCAGTCTTCAGATTCTCACTGCTATATTTATTTGTCCCCTACTCCAAAGTTTGCTTTTTTCTGATGATTTCAGAATTATTTCTGCCCAAGATTCAGTTATAAAGAAAGTGATTGCTTTTTGTTTCACTGAAGGACAGATCTAAGCTAAAGTTGAATGACTGATTCATGAGTTTAGCGCAGTCGAGCCGCTGTTGTGAATCACTTGATGATGACTGGATGCCATATTTGTGTTGAACTTTCAATAGATTCTCAGTGATCACAATTTAGAGATGTCAGAGCTACATGGATCAATAAATCATTGGGAAAAACAGGTGGATGAAATAAAGAAATCCTGCAAGATGCTAGAGGACAAAATGTAAGTGAGACACTATTTTGACTCAAGCATTTCTAGAGGTGAATATGCTACTTCATTTAAAGATATTTATTTAATATTAGATGAAAATTGTATTCTCTTAGCTCACTAAAATTAATCTCTTCAGTTTGAAATTAGCCAGGCTTTGAGATAATCAAGGGAACAAAAAACTAAGAGTGATGTAGTCAGTTTGGAAAAGGGGGCGAGAACTCTTTGGAAGGTGCAAGATCTTTGGAAAAGTTCATGGAAAATGAATATTATGAAAAAATTGTGTGGATTTTTAAAAATTATACCAAAATAAGCATAATATATTCATTCTGTTTTTCCATGAACTTTTTGAAGTGTACTTGTATTATTCCCATTTCCAGTCCTGACTCCCTACAAACAGAAATGCCCGTGGAGCATGGCCTAGTGGGACACGCTGTAAGGCCACAGCCTACCTGGAACAGTTCTTGTTCGTCGTGAGGCAGGGCTTGCAGAACTCAGAAAATACAAGGCCGTCGGGCGTGAACACTGCTCCACACAGGACTGGAACCAGAAACTGGGGCCAGGCTCCCATCCATCCAAAGGCTCACACTCTGCTTCCTCTCTGAGTGTTTCATTCTTCCCTCTTTGCTGTATACGGTGCTCTCTCCTTGGTGAACACATGCACACTATGGCTGAGCCAAATTCTCTGTATTGACTGTCAGTCACAGGTCCAGCCATCTGAAGAGGCTGGCCAGCGACTCTCCCAGAAGAATCCTCGATTTCACATGGGAATGTGTTTAGTCCAGTCTTGGCTCCTAGTGCAGTCAGCTCTGGCCTGGAAGATGTAGTCTTACAATGTGGTTTCTGGGGCCCGCCTCAGTGGTTCATTGACAGTTCAATAGACCACCTATGGGCCGAGCAGACGCCACAAAGACGAGTGACTTCCCTGGTAGAATCCTCCTTCGTAGATTTCAATGTACTGTGATTACAACCACAGCAATTGTAGCGGCAGGCCTTTGGCTGGCTGTTAAGCCAGTGGTTAGGATGCCTGCCTTCCATGTTGGAGTACCCGGGTTCAGTGCCCTGCGCCAGCTCCTGATTTAAGCTTCCTACTAATGCAGACCCTGGAAGGCAGCAGGAATGGCTCAGGTGGTTGGTCTGTGCCACCCATGTGGGAGGCCTGGGTTGAGTTCCAGGCTCCTGGTTTGGCCCAGGCCAGTCTTGTCTGTTTGCAGGCATTCGATGAGTGAACCTGTAACTGGGAGCCCTCTCCCCCTGACTGCCCCTCTCTCTTTCTGTCTTGCTCTCTCTATCCCTCTCTGTCTCTTTCTCTTTCTGTTTCTCAAATAAATAAAAATTTTAAAAAGAGCCCCACAATAGCAGAGTATAATGTGCTTAAAATAGGCAATAATTTTAAAATATGCCAAGTTCAATTAATATACCATAATTAAAACTCAGGAAAAATAAACCTTTTCTTGCTAAGTGATTTAATAGTTTTAGTTCATACAAATTTTGAAGAAAAACTAGGGAAAAAGTCACAGTGGAACACATGTGAATCAGCCTATAAGTTATTATGAGCAGTTACAATGAAAAATATCCCTCTATCAATAAAGTTTTATTTATAAGCAGTATTTCTGTTAGCTAAGTTGTTTTAAATATATGTTCAAGAAGGAAGTGAGGAGTCATTGACCACACATTTTTAATGGCCCATCATTTTTTTGTAATCCTGGCTTTTCAAACGTTTTCATTATTGTGGCATCTTATTGAGAAAAAAGTGCTTTTGATTAATTTGATGAAATTAAAAGAAAATTCTCTATATTCTCACTTTTTTCTTAGTTCATTTTTTCTACCTGTGGAGGTGAATAGAGGTAACCCAGCAATTGCTTGGTGGATTTGAAAAACCAGCATTGTATTCTCTAAAATTCTATAAGAGCAAATAATGCAAGAAAGTAAAGTAATAGGCACACTCACCTTCCTGTTAATCTAGAGCGTAAGCCGTACTTTTCCCAGTGAAATCTTTAACTTGAAGGAAGGTTGCTTAATAGCACTGTTACCTATTTGCAGTCAAAATATTGATGGAAAACAAATCCCTCCACCACACGTTTAAATTCTATTGTGTGTTTAGACAATAAGAGCGCCTCAGATGCATTACAGATCCACAGATTGATGGCTTGGTCCTTGTTGCTTATCACTGCTGAGAGCTGGCCTGCTCTGTTTATACAGCTAAAGGCAAACCCAGTGTCCCCTTTCTAAATTGCTATGGTCTCTCCTTGCCATTCAAATGGTTTTCAGCCCATGGGAAATCTGGAAGCTAAATGTTGTACATAAGTGATGTCCACTTTGTAACCCACAGTGTATGCTTGCCATTAAAATTCGTGAAGTTATTAAGATTCTAGATGCTTGGAGGGGGAACTGAAATGATTTACAAGTTACCAAGGTTACCAGTGATTTCCATCCATCCTGTCAAAAGTTGGAGGCCTAGCCTATCCCTTACAGTTCTCAAAGTCATGGTGGAATTTGGCACAGTCTATCACTTTTACCTTCTTGAAATACTCCCTTCTGTTCCTTCACTTACTACACGAGTTGGTTGTCCTCAGGACCCTAACTTGTTCCAGTTGTGTTTTCTGTCCAAGTTTTGGAGTTCTCAGCCCTTTATGATTTTCTGTTCACATTCTCCATGTGTGATTTTTCTTCCAGTTTCATGGCTTTATTTTATTTTTAAAATGTTTATTTTTATTTACTTGAAATACAGAGTAACAGAGAGAGAACAAGCACTTCCTTTAGCTGGTTCAGCCCCCCGATGCCTACAACAGCCGGGGCTGGGGTAGGCTGGAGTCAGGAGCCTAGAACCCCACCAGACCTCACGGCTGGGTGGCAGGGGCCCAAGAACTCGAGCCATCATCTGTTGCCTCCTAGAATGCATTAGCAGGGAGCTGAATCAAAAGCAGTGTAGCTGGGACCAAAGCAGTCCTCCCGCACAGGACGTGGGAGTCGCAAGTGACAGTTTACACTCCATGCCACAACCCCCACTCCAGTCTGATGGTTTCAAGCCTGCTCTGTACCCTGGTGACTCCCACGTGTACATATCCATCCCTGACCTCTTCCCTGGGTCTAAACACGCAGCCTCTGTCGCTGACCTGACCTCTCTGCTTGAACGGTCTGTTAGACTCCTCAGACATAGTATCCGAGATAGAACTCCTGATTCCACAGCTCTTCCTACAGCCTCCCCTGCCAGTGAACGTGGCACCACTGCTTAGGTACTTACCCCAGCCCAAAGCCTAGGAGTTACCCACCACTCCTATTGTCCTCACTACCTAACCCTAACCCAACTCTAACCAAATCCAAAGGTACATCCCCTTACCTTCATCTTCAAAATACAAAGTACTTAAAAAAGGTAACAGAAAATGGAATTAAAAAGTAAGCTTATTTTGATACACAGAATTTTAAAGTCCATTCATAGTTTTTGCACAAAAAATGTTCATTGAAAATGTATATTATGGAAAAAACTAGGCATGGATTTCAAAAATATTTTGCACCAAAACAAATATATCTTTTATTTCTATTTTTCCTTTAACATTTTTTGGAGAAGTAGACACACACACAAGACAGAGAGAGAGAGCACTTTCATTCATTGGTTCACTCCAGAGTGCCCCCAACAGCTAGGGCTGGTCTGAGACCAAAGCCTGGAGCTAGGAATGCAATCCAGGTTGGCACACATGAATGGCAGATTCTCAACTGCTTGAGCCACCAGCTGCCATCGCCCAAGGTGTGCATTAGCAGGAAGCTGGAGTCAGGCGCCAGAGTCAGGTAGCAAACCTAGATACTCTTGATACGGGATGTGGACATCTTAACTTGCATCTTAACTGCCAGGCTAGCTGCCCACCTCCTAAGGACTTTGTGAAGTGCCTTTGTATATCCTGTAGGCACCTACATGCCACCTCCACTCTTAGAATCTTAATCAGAACCACCATTATCTTCTCTTGACCACACAGCCTTCTACCTGGTCTGTCTTCCTCCTCTGCTGTCTTTCTCCACAGGGTAACCAGAATTGTCATGTCGGGGGATCATGTTATTTCTCTGCTAAAATATCCTTCCCTGCAGTGGACGTTGTGGCATAGCATATTAAGCCACTGCTTGGGAAGCCCATATCCCATATCATAGTGCCAGCTGGAATCCTGGCTGCTCCACTTCAACCCAGCGCCCTGCCAGTGCATCCTGGGAAGCAGCAGGTGATGGCTCAAGTGCTGGGCCCCACCACCCATGTGTGAAACCTGCTTGGATTTCCTGGCTCCTGGCTTCAGCTTGGTTTAGCCCTGGCTAATGTGGGCATTTGGAGAGTGACACAGCAGACAGATCTGTCTCTTGCTCGCTTGCTCTCTCTTGCTCTCCTTCTCCCTCTCTCCCTCTTCTCTCTTCTCCTCTCTTTTCTCTCTCTCTCCCTTTCTCTTTCTCTTTCTCTCTGCTCTGCCTTTCTAGTAAATGAAAACAAACATTTTTAAAAAATCCTCTCCTGGGGAGCAAATATCTATCCTGACAGTTTAAAGGCCCACATCCTGCGGCCAGCATCATAGTGTAGAGGGTAAAACCGCTGCCTGTGACACCAGTGTCCCGTGTAGGCACCAGCTCATGTCCCGTTTGCTCCATTTCCAATCCCACTGCCTGCTAATGGCTTGGAAAAAGCAGCAGAGGATGGCCCATGTGGGAGACCTGGATGAAGCTCCTGGTTCCTGGGGAGTGAACCAGCAGATGAAAGATTGATCTCTCTCTTTCTCTGTCTCCCCCTGACTCTGACTTTGAAATAAATAAATCTTTAAAATAAATAAACAGATAAAGGCCCACATCCCACATTGGAACACTTGGGTGGTTTCCAGCTCCAGCTCTTGATTTCTGCTTCTCACCAATGCAGACCCAGGAAGCAACAGTGAGGGCTCTGGGATCCTACCACACGTGGGAGACCTAGATTGAATGGCTTTCGCCTTGGTTCAGTCCCAGCTGTTGTGAGCATTTAGGGAGTGGATGGGAGCTCTCTCTTTGTCTCTCTGTCTCGCAAATAATAATAGTTTTTTAGCCCTCCCCTGGCTTCCTTCAGAATAAAATCTGAACTCCTACCTGACCCTACATGATCGAGTACCTGTCTATCCCTCCAGCATCATCACACCCCTTCCTCAAATTCACTAAGCTTCCCCCCGCTCCCCACTCCCCCTCCCCCCCGTCTCTGGATACTATCAACAGCTGTTCTTTCTGCCTGAAAAGATTTTCTTTCAAGTCCTCAGCAGAGAGCTGGATTGGAAGAGGAGCAGCCGGGATTAAAACCAGCACCCAGCCAGCACCGCAGCTCAATAGGCTAATCCTCCGCCTGCAGCGCCGGCACACCAGGTTCTAGTCCTGGTCGGGGCGCCAGATTCTGTCCCGGTTGCTCCTCTTCCTGTCCAGCTCTCTGCTGTGGCCCGGGAGTGCAATGGAGGATGGCCCAAGTGCTTGGGCCCTGCACCCACATGGGAGACCAGGAGAAGCTCCTGGCTTTGGATCAGCATGGTGCACCGGCCACAGTGGCCATTGGGGGTGAACCAACGGCAAAGGAAGACCTATCTCTCTGTCTCTCTCACTGTCCACTCTGCCTGTCAAACAAACAAACCTAAAAAAACAGCACCCATATGGGATGCAAGCGCCACAAGAAAAAGGATAACCTTTTGGCCAAGGCCCCAGCCCAATACAGTGTTTGTTTGTTGGTTACATTCAGAGTGGCCAGGAGAGAAAAGAGACCGAGAGAAAGGTCTTCCTTTGCGTTGGTTCACCCCCAGTGGCCACTGTGGCCGGCACGCTGTGGCCGGCGCACCGCGCTGATCCGATGGCAGGAGCCAGGTACTTATCCTGGTCCCCCATGGGGTGCAGGGCCCAAGCACTTGGGCCATCCTCCACTGCCCTCCCGGGCCACAGCAGAGAGCTGGCCTGGAAGAGGGGCAACCGGGACAGAATCCGGTGCCCCGACCGGGACTAGAACCCGGTGTGTGGGTGCCGCAAGACTGAGGATTAGCCTAGTGAGCCGCGGCGCCGGCCCAATTACAGTCTTGACATTAGTCCAGGTACCGACCTAAATCATATGTGGGGTATGAATAAATTATAATCTTAACGTTAATCCAGGTGCAGCCTATTTGTTTTAAGGCTGAGCGATCATGCCAGGGGGTTTCACTGTTTTGCCAAGCAGGATGCAGTGCACTGTTGTTGTCTTAGTTTTAGACCATAGTTAGTTTCTGACCAGAGTCTCATGGTGTGGGGGGATTTCTCAAGATGGAGTCTTGGGTGCTCTAAAATGGAGTCCCTGCTGTCAGGTGTCACTGTCACACTTGTTATTCTTTGGAACACTCACCCCTATCTGAAGTATTTATTTTTGATACCTTGCCTTTGTTCTGACTGTTCCACTAGAATATGATTTCCATGAGGGTAGAGCCTTGGCTTATGCTTTATCCTGAGCATCTAGGACATATCTGGCAGAACACAGGTGTCCAATAATTGCTTCTCAAGTGGACGAATAATTAAATGAATATTCATTCATCTATTTTAAAGAACAATACTTTTGTTGATTCCAATACCTAGAAAGATCAATACATTGAGTGGGGAGAAGGGAATTGGAAGTTTCTGATGTCTTAACTGAATGTGGCTTTGATAGAAAACATGCTCTGATATGAATCTGTTTGGCTCGCTTTGTTCATAGGCGTTTATTCACAACTCACAAGGAGAAGCTGGACAGTATATCCAATATTGAGAAAACTGAATATCTGCAAAAGATAAAACAGGTAGGAAGAAAGAAATTATGAGTTTCAGAAGGTAATTATATCTTATTTTTTAGTTAAAATTTTAAACAGGTGTGAGCAGTGTGGAATTTTTAAGTCAATTTTTATTGATTAATAATAATGATCCTTCACAGTAATTGATTTAAGGATTTTTATTGCCTCTCTAAGTATCCTAAATATGCAGAAGAGAAAATATGCCAATATAAAGATGAATAATTTTTTGATAACTCTTCAGGGGGAATAGTGGTTTTTTGCATTAGGAATGTCCATGGTTAATGGATCTTTTTCATGTGAATTATTTAGAAAAACTATGATCATTTAGCTGTGCTGCACTTTAAAATATTTGTATTACTTAGAAGTAATTGAGGCAGATTTAGCCCCCAGGAGAATTCTCTTGCCATTTTCTAAAGAAGTTAAAAGAGATATTGTCTCAGAAGTAAATATCGGTTTAAACTAAAATTTAGCTGCAAGATATTCAGTGAAGCACTGATTAGGGTAGTAAAAAATCAGGAGTAAGGGAATACCATTAAAATGCAATGGAAGGACCTTGGTTGAAAAAGCACTAGCATTGTTCACAGTATGTTACTGAGTGTCAGATACTAGATTATGAGGCAGTATGCACACTACACCTGTATTTATTTATGCATACCCAGAAATACACAGGCACACTAGGCATCCTGGAATTTCTTCCTGCCCCTGGCATTGAAGGAGAAATGCCCATGGTATCTCCTCTCCTAAGCCCTGTGTGGGGAGCAACTGAGACTAGACTAAGTTACTGGAACTAAGACTAACACTATGCATCTGACCTCCCACAATATGGTGCTGAGAGACAGCAAACAGCTTCTACGCAGCTGCCTCGCCAATTTGACTAACAAGCTGCAGGAGCTGATCCTGCTCCTGATTGGAGGAGAGCAGCGTGCTCGGTGTGTGGGCAGCAGAGCATGGATTGGTGGAAGAGGACTATAAAGGAAGAGAGAGAAAATATGCACTGGGAAACATCTGAGGAACATCTGAGCAACCCCTGAGAGAGCTGGCCGGCCGGCGGTGTGCCGCTCCTCCGCGGAAGCGGGGAAAGCGGCGGGGGTGCCGCCCCTCCGTGGAGGTGGGGGGGCCGGCAGCAAACCCGGGGAGGCGGGGGCTGGCAGCTAATCCGGGACGGCGTCGTTCCTCCACGAGTGAGGGAATGGCAGCAAACCTGGGAAGGGCCAGGCAAAAGGAACAGCGCAGGGTCTAGTGTCGTTCCTCCACGAGAGGGGAAGCGACAGCCCTGTACACAAGTTTGCATACATCACAGCATTTTTTGCACCAAAACAAACTTACCTTTTAATTCCATTTTCCACAAACATTTTGCAGTGCCTTTCTGCGTACAGTTATTTCCACAGTTCGAGTCTTGTTGTGTCCGGTGCCCTCTGCCCACCGTCCTCAGTCAACCAGGATGTAAAATTCAGCCCTTTGACTAGTTTCTAAAATGAATTCAGTGGTGCTGAGCACTTCATGATCTACTGCAAACTCTGCTGGACATGATGGTGATGAGGGGACGGTAGAATCTCATTGCAGACCTCCGGGCCGTCTTGCCCCCCACCTTTTCTTCCTCCTACAGGTACTCATCCATCCTCTTGCTCTAAAATACAGGACCCCCACCTCCCAATTCTTCTCCCTCTGTGATAAAGTATAGCACTGTCCTTTGTCTGAGACCCGCATCCATACCCTGGGGCTCACTGGGGAGATCCGAAGAGGAATCCTTTCAGAACAATGGTTTATACCATTAAATTTTTTCCATTTGGGGCTTTGGGAATTATCAGCATTAAGGATGTCTTCCCCCTAGGCTTGTCTTTCTCTGATTCTTTTGGCTTCAAACATATGAGAAGACATAAACCAACCAAAGTTCCCTTTAGAAAAAAAAGTTTGTTTTTTTTTTTTATTTGCTTGAAGGGCAGAGTGGCAGAGGAGAGGCACAGAGAGAGAGAGATCTTCCAACTGCTGGTTCACTCTCCAAATGGCTGCAACAGCCAGGGTTGGTTCAGGCTGAAGGCAGGAGCCTAGAACTCCTTCTGGGGCTCCCACATAGGTGGCAGGAGCCCAGGGACTCGGGCCATCTTCTGTTGTTTTCCCAGGCATGTTAGCAGGGAACTGGATCAGAAGCATAGCAGCTTGGACTGAAAACAGCACTCTTAAGGAATGCCGACATTGCAAGTGCTGGCTTAATCCACCGTGCCACAGTGTTGGCTCCCAAAGTTGTCTGTAATCAGAATGCGTGGGTCCAGCTTTCATCTCTGCTCTTGATTCCAGCTTCCAGCTAATGAGCACCCTGGGAGACACCTGGTGATGGCTCAAGTACTTGGGTCTCTGGTACACACACAGGAGACTCAGCTGAGTACTGCGCTCCGGGCTTCCACCTGAACCAGCCCCAGCAGTTGTGGGCATTTGGGATTGAGCCAGCAGATAAGAGATCTCTCTGCATCTCTGTGTATCTCTCTCCTTCTGCCTTTAAAATAAATACACGTGAAAGAATTAAATAAATTAAATTGTTTTTCATTTTCTGAGCAATTTGTTTTTACCCATTCCATTTATCTCAGTTGTAACAGCTGTTAGACAGTCTTCAAGTAACAGCCACACATTTTCCAGCCTCATGAATGTCTGAATAGTTTGGGTCCCCAAACTGGCCTGGCTCACCAGGTCAAAGAGGGAGGTATAGACGTGTTTCTCTTCAATTCATAGCCTTCAACCCAATTCCATGGTACGAGTGAGGATCACTCAAATAAATAAATAGGCTATGACCCACTTATTATTTTCACTAGAGTGGGAATTTTGGGCTCTTAATGATATCCCATTGCAATTCTCACAGATTATTGGAGGCAAATTATTGATAGTAAACTCTATTCTAACTGTATTTTAACACTTCCCCCACCCAGATCTCCCCAATTCCTCCTCCAACTCCAGTTCCTGGTAACCACAATTCTACTCTACTTCCATGAGTTCAGCACTGTAAGATTCCACATATGAACGAGATCATGCATACTTGTCTTTCTGTGTGTGGCTTATTTCGTTTAACGTAACGTCTGCCTGGCTCATACATGGTGTGGATGACAGGATTTCCGTCTTTTTAAAGGCTGCGTAGTATTCCATTGTGCATATCTGTCACATTTTTTATCCATTCATCTCTTGATGGACACTCTTGTTTATTCTATCCACATCTTGGCTACTGTAAATGCTGCTGCATTGAACATGGGAGGGCATTTGCCATTCTGATTTCATTTTCTTTGGAAATGTACTGATTGTGGGGTCTAACTTTTTTGTTATGAAATATTATACAGAATAAATAGCATGTAAACTGTAAATACATAGGATTTGTGAACCAATCACATTAATTTTAGTGAAGCCTAATTTATCAATATTTTCCTTTTTGGTTAATGCTTTCTGTGACCTGTGTCATGAAGATTTTGTCTTTCATTATCTTTTAGAAGCTTTTTGTTTGACTTTCCACATCGAAAACAATAAACCACCTGGAATTTATATATGTGTGTGAAGTGTGAGACAATGATCAAATTCAAATTTTTTCATAAAGTTGCTCCATTCGTCAGTACCATTTAATCAAAAGATAGTACTCCTCTCCAGTGTGTCACAGTTGCATTGTTATCATAAGTTTATTATTGATTTATCATCAGAAATCAAATGTGGATCATAAATGTATGGATAGATTGTAGGCTCTGTTCTGTTTAGTTGGATTATTTGTGTCTCCTCATATTAAAACAATATGGTCTTGAATGGTAACTTTAAAATGAGTCTCATAGATGGTAATATAAATCCTTCAACTTGGAGATTGCTCCAGTATTCTTGGCCCTTTGAATGTTTATCAGTTTGTCAGATTCTACCAGAAAAGCCTGCTTTGGTTTTCACTGGGAATGTATTAAATCTGCTAATGGAGAGGAGGATTTTTTTTTTTTTTGACAGGCAGAGTGGACAGTGAGAGAGAGACAGAGAAAAAGTTCTTCCTTTGCCGTTGGTTCACCCTCCAATGACCGCCGCAGCCGGCACACTGCACTGATCCGAAGTAGGAGCCAGGTACTTATCCTGGTCGCCCATGGGGTGCAGGACCCAAGCACTTGGGCCATCCTCCACTGTACTCCCTGGCCACAGCAGAGAGCTGTCCTGGAAGAGGGACAACCGGGAGAGAATCCAGTGCCCCGACCGGGACTAGAACCCGGGGTGCCGGCGCCGCAAGGCAGAGGATTAGCCTAGTGAGCCGCGGTGCCAGCCATGGAGAGGATTTTACAACTTCACAATACTCAGCTCTCCAGTGCACACGTGTGGCATATGTCTCATTTGTTTCAGGTCTCCTTTGTTTTCTGCCTCAGGTTTTCAGTGTTACTAGTTTGGCAGTCCAAAACCATCTTCATCCCTGAATTCCCTGGCTATCGAGGTCAGGCAGGACTATGATTGGCCAGTTTCCCATGGACCGTTTTCCAGAAGCGAAGCTCCTTGGGATCCCAGCCCCCAGCAGAGGGAGGTTGATCCAGGTTCCACATCTGGATGAACCCTACACCTGGACTTTGGTCCCCTTTGTCACTCAAGAAGACAAAAACTCGGGGGCTAAGTGGTTTCTTCCGTGTTAGTAAACGTCCTCAGACCAAAAGGTTTTAAATGCAACCCTTGTCACCCTGGATTCTTCTCCTAGAATTAGGCCCAGTAATTCTTCCTTATCTGGTTGGTTCTTCAACACTTTGAAGTCAACATTTTTTGACTTAGCTATTTCAGTGGTCCTCGTGCAGGTTCTTTTGAACTTCCCAGTCCTGCATTCCCGCTAAACCTTTCTTCACTCATTTGAAGCAATTCACTAGACACATCCAGGCACCAAATTCTTACCTCATGCAGAAACTGATGGGTACTATGTTTTGTCCTCAAATAGAAACGCAGTCTTCCTTTGCTATCAGTGGGAAATTGGTTTCAGGATTTTCTGCAGAAACTGAAACCAAAAGTTGCGCAAGTCCCCTTTATAAAAGCTGAAGTTTTTGCATACAACCTACACACAGGCTTTTGCTTAAACCATCTCTGGATTACTAATAGTGCCTTATAGGATACCTGCCCATCACTGCATCTGTGTGAATTCAGCATAGTACCCAGCACGTGACAAAGTTTTGCTTTTGGAAAATTTCTTGAATTTTTTTTTTCAAATATTTTTGAACCACAGTTGGTTGATGCAGAACTCACAGATATAGAGCAACTGTACTTAACAAGAAGCAAGCATAATATCTAGTCGAGAGCGTCTGTGTATGCTACCTTTACCCCTTAGAATAGTCCCTGTTCCGGGGAAAGGACACAGCTGCCACCGGGTGATCACAGTGTGTCTACAGCGTTTCCTACTTCATATGGATCATTACACTGTGGCCTTACACCCGTGTTTGCTGCCTGCAGACACTGTTGTCATCATCTGTAAAAGGCTCCAGAAGGTGCGATCGCGGCTTTGCTGTGGCATTGAATCCCATGACATGGATGGCATTTGTGGCCCATTCATTGTGCACTAAGCAGCAAACCGAGTGCCCTGGAGAGTTGCCTGCCTGATGCTGCCCTCCTCAAAGGGGTGATGGAGTTAAGTCCTCTTATCCGGTTCCTTTGTTTTTTCCTAGCTGACTGAGAAACGACTCAGGGTGCAATCAGAGAACAGAGATCTACGAGAGAAACTGCAGACTCTGATGAGACAGTTGAAGATTGTCTTAAGTGAGGAGGATAAAGTTTTTGTATACAAACGGAAGATCTATGATGAGTACGTTTGCACCATGATCCATATGTGACTCAGCATGCTGTGGTTTGGGGGGCTTTCCTTGCCTTCAAAGTGGTGATTCTCTACTGGGGTTCATCCTAGTTTTTCATTCTGCTGAGAAAAGTGACATATTCTAGTAAGCACGCCCCTAATCTGCCTCTGTCATTCTAAATAATGCTTCTCGTGCCTGGTTCAAGGCACATACGTGAAAACCAAATTCATTAATTTTTCTTCTAAATTCAGAACGCAGAGGAGTCATTATGCTTTTACCCTGTGAGACTATCCGGAGAAACGACGAGGTTTCCCTGCCTTTTTCATAAACAGGCTCCACACCTGCAGGCCCTTGCCCGGAGAAGGGTTCAGCCATTGGACAACCCCCTAACCCAATGGACTGGGCAATGAGTAAAGGAAATCCCCTGTCTTTTCCACCTATCGGACTCCGGTTGGTACCCGCTCTGCCTTTCTCCAGCATCGCTCCCTTCGCCCAGCCCCTCTGTGTGACTCGCCCTTCAAAGGCCGTTTTCTGCTTCCCTAGTCCCAGTGCCTCAACCTCCTTTCTGCCAGCATGAACCTCCTGAAGCCCCTCGCTCGTGTCCTTCCTTATCACGGGTCACCACAGTATCGTCCACTGGGCACAAAGCGCTTGGTCCCAGAGCTGCCAGGAGGTCAGGGCAGTCACTCTTGTCTTACTCGGCATCTCCAGGACTTCATGCGTTGCCTGCAAACAGATAGTGAGCATTCACCCATGCTTTTAAAATGGCTGCTCACAGCACCCTCTAGCAAGCAGGAAGTTATGTAAGTAATAATCATTACTGCACTCGCAGTTGAATCATATGGAAATGTAATTACCGTGGCCCGCTTAGGAGAAGCCTTTAAGCTACAGAGAGGTGTTGCAGTCATTTCATCTCATCCAGTTGAATAGCCTACAGAGAAGGAAATTGTTAGTATTTTTTGGGCAAAAACCTCTCTCAGGTCAATACTAAGTGAGTTAGCCTTTGGAATCCTGAAATGTACTGATGACAAGTTACCGTGACACTAAAAGTTGGCCGTCATTGTTGGGTTCTGTCTTAGTTAGCTCCAGCTGCTAGAATAAAACTCCATGGCCTGGCTGACTTACACAACAGACATTGAGCTCTCAGTTACGGAGGTTGGAAGCCTGATTCCAGGGCCGGCGTGGCAGGGGGCTAGCAGAGGTCTTCTTTCTGGCTTACAAGGCCAAGGGCTGGTGAGCTCTCTGGTGTCTTTTCCTATAAAGGCACTAATTCCATCATGAGGGCCCCATCCTCACGCCCTCATCCAAACTGAATTGTTTCTCAAAGCCCCAAATGTTACTACAGCACTGGCTTCCATGGCGTTCATTGCTGCCGCTCCAAATCACTTTAATTTTGTGTGTGTGTGTGTGATTAAAAAAAGTGATGCCTGAGCCTTACTTTTTAAAAAAGATTTATTCATTTATTTGAAAGTCACACAGAGAGAGGAGAGGCAGAGAGAGAGAGAGAGAGAGGTCTTCCATCTGATGGCTCACTCCCCAGGTGGCCTCAATGGCCAGAGCTGCGCTGATCCGAAACCAGGAGCCAGGAGCTTCCTCCAGGGCTCCCACGTGGGTGCAAGGACCCAAGGACTTGGGCCATCTTCTACTGTTTTCCCAGGCCATAGCAGAGAGTTGGATTGGAAGTGGAGTGGCCGGGTCTCAAACCAGCGTCCATTGGGGTGCCTGCACTTCAGGCCAGGGCATTAACCCGCTGCACCACAGTGCCGGCCCCCGAGCCTTATTTTTAAAGTTAAACAGAAATGTGTAATTTAGAAAGTAAAAATGACTCTAATTTTCTCTATCTTTCCATCACCTAGAGGTTTAAGAGTTTAATATATAAATTCTGGAAAAAGTGAGGAGATAGCAACTCAGCCCTTAGTAGTTTTATAGACTTAGATACAACACTGTCTGTTACGGGCCATTTCCAGTCAATGTCTAAGCATTCCAGCAAAGCCATTAACTTGTCTCAGCCATGCTATTCCATGCTGCAAGTTAAGGCAAAGAATAGCTACTCTATAAAAACCACTTTGGCGGTCCATGTCCTGGGTCAAGTACCTGACAACTTATTAAATCCAGTGAGACAGGGATTGTAATCCCCATTTTATGGATGGTGAAACTGAGGCTTATCCCCAGGCTAAGGTTCTTGCCCAAGGTGACACTGTTATTAAGAGGCAAAGCCAGTATTCAAAGTTGATCTGATGGACTCGTCTGCCCTTCATAGAACAGGACACCGTGATAAGTGCTGAGGGCAGACCCAGCTCGCAGAGAGACGGAGTGAAACAGGACTCTTCTTGCGGTTACTATTGTAATGAGTGTTCTCCCGTGAGCTCTGAAATGTTCGTAAATATTGTGAGAATCCTAGGCATAAGTTTAAATTTAGCCACCACTGGCAAAACAAAAAACAAAAAAACCCTTTGTTTTCTAATTTTATTTATTTATATTGGTAAATAGTTCACAATTTGGACTCCCCAAACTATTTGTTAAATACCTGTTGTATGTTTGCGTATTTTCTCATGCTGAGGAATTAAAACTGTTTCCCCCTTAACAAATGATAACTGTTTTTTCATGGTAGAAATCAGAAACAACTGGCATTCATTGCTCAGAAAGAAAACTTCATAGCACAAAGGAAGGTAGACATCAGAAATATGGAAGAAGGACTCGTCACCCTCCGAGAACTTCATCAGTATGTTGCTGCCTTTGACTTCTTCAGTCTTGACTCTTGTCTGCGTTTACTTTTTAATAAATGGTAACCATAGATCAATGTCAGTTTCTACTACACCGCAATAAAAGAGGCAGAAATTTATCATTAGCTTTCTCTGTTATACAGTCCCAAAAAGTCATTAGCATTGATGCCTTCATTAAAGGGATAGCAGGCTCCAAATGCACACGAGGAACAGCTGTGGTCCAGTGACAAGAGCGAGCCTGCACGTTGTCACCACACCGAATCCCCTCACCCATGATGGTCATTTCTCTTGTTCCAGATCACTTTTTTTTTTTTTTTTTGGACAGGCAGAGTTAGAGAGAGATTCAGAGAGAAAGGTCTTCCTTCCATTGGTTCACCCCCCAAATGCCCCAAATGGTTGCTATGGCCGGTGCTCTGCGCCGATCCGAAGCCAGGAGCCAGGTGCTTCCTCCTGGTCTCCCATGCGGGTGCAGGGCCCAAGCACTTGGGCCATCCTCCACTGCCTTCCCGGGCCACAGCAGAGAGCTGGACTGGAAGAGGAGCAACCAGGACTAGAACCCGGGGTGCCGGCGCTGCAGGTGGAGGATTAGCCTAGTGAGCACGGCGCCAGCCCCAAATCACTTTCACTTTCTTCTTTTCTGATGAAAAAAGTAATGCCTATATCTGCTTTTACAATGAAAATAGAGAAATGTGCAACTTATAGAATAAATGTTACCCTAATCTCACCATGTCTTTACAGAGATAATCGCTGTTTACAGGTATGTATCTGTGGGTATCCAAACATTGGCTTATACTTTTCTGTAACTGGATTTTTCACTTAAAATTATCTTGGGAGAATTACAAATATGGTAAAATGGAAACATTTGAGAAGTTGGTAAAGGGTATATGGGATTTTTTTTGTACTGTTATTTGTACTTCTCTGTAGAGTTGGAAACTACAAGAAAACATCAAAAAGTTTTTAAGAAAAGGAAATTGAAAGTATGAGTTTATTTGGGTGTAAAAAATATTTTTCAAGCCAGCGCCGCGGCTCGCTGGGCTAATCCTCCGCCTTGCGGCGCCGGCACACTGGGTTCTAGTCCCGGTCGGGGCACCGGATTCCATCCCAGTTGCCCCTCTTCCAGGCCAGCTCTCTGCTGTGGCCAGGGAGTGCAGTGGAGGATGGCCCAAGTGCTTGGGCCCTGCACCCCATGGGAGACCAGGAGAAGCACCTGGCTCCTGCCATCGGATCAGCGCGATGCGCCGGCCGCGGCGGCCATTGGAGGGTGAACCAACGGCAAAGGAAGACCTTTCTCTCTGTCTCTCTCTCTCACTGTCCACTCTGCCTGTCAAAAAAAAAAATTAAAAAAAAAAACACTATTTTTCTGGGGCTGGCGTTGTGGCATAGCTGATAAAGCCACTGCCTCCAGTGGCATCATCCCATATGGGTGACGGTTCAAGTCCAAGCTGCTCCACTTCCAATCCAGCTCTCTGCTATGGCCTGGGAAAGCAGTGGGAGTTGGCACAAGTTCTTGGGCCCCTGCACCCACATGGGAGACCTGGAAGAAACTCCTGGCTCCTGGCTTCAGATAGGCACAGCTCTGGCCATTGTGCCCATCTAGGGAGAGAACCAGCAGATGAAAGACCCTTCTCTCTCTCTCTCTCTCTCTCTCTCTCTGCCTTTCTCTAACTCTGCCTTTCAAATAAATAAATAAATATTTTAAAAATATTTTTCTATTCATATGTATATATTAATATTTATTTTTATTTATTTGAAAGAGTTACAGAATGAGGTAGAGACAGAGAGAGAGAGAGGTCTTCCATCCACTGATTCACTCCCCAAATGGTCACAGTGGCCAGAGCTGGGCTGATCCAAAGCCAGGAACCAGGAATTTCTTCTGGGTCTCCCATGTAGGTACAGGGGCCTAAGACTTGATCCATTCTCTGCTGCTTTCCCAGGCACATTAGCAGGGAGCTGGATCAGAAGTGTAGCAACCGGGACTCGAACGAGCGCCCATGTGGGATGCCGGCACTGCAGGCTGGGGCTTTAATCTGCTGCGCCACAGCATCGCCCCCATATATAGTTTTTTCATAAGATGCATTTCCCTAATATTATGAAAAAAAAATTGGACAAAAATAAACTCATACTTTGAGTTCCATTTTCTACAAACTTTTTGAAGTATTCTCATATTTCGTAATAAAGAAGGAAAAAATCATACATATAAGACATCTTTCCTCATTCCTTTCTCCAATTCCATAGTATTCCTTTTATAGCTTATACATATGTTTTTTTTAAGATCTTATTTTATTTATTTGAAAAGGAGAGAGAGAGAGAGAGAAGGAGGGAGAAAGATCTTTCACTCACTGGTTCACTCCTCAGTGGCCACAGGCCAGGGCTGGGTCAGGCCAAAGTCAGGAGCCAGGAGCTTTATCTTGGTCTCCCACATAGGTGCGGGGGCCCAAGCATGTGGACCATCTTCTGTTGCTTTTCTCGGGCCATTTAACAGGAGCCAGATGAAAACTGGACACAAACTGCGCCCATATGGGATACCAGCATTGCAGGCGGTTGGTTAACCTGCTGTACCACAGCACCGGCCCCTTAAATTTTATAGTATATTTTATGTAATATAAATATATTGAACTTTATCACCTTAAGTTCATTTTGTATAACATTATAAATATTTATTTAATATATATGCATAAATATATACTATATATTTTTTATTTTAAAATGTTATTATATGAAAGACAGAGAAAGACATGGGGAGTGTCCATCTGCTGGTTGACTCCACAAATACCCACAATGGCCAGGACTAAGCTGGGGCCCCAGTCAGAGCCAGGAGTTGGGCACCCAATCCAGGCTCTCATGTGAGTGGCAAGAACCCAAAAACTGGAGCCATCACCTGCTGCTTCCCAGGGTCTACGTTAGCAGGAGGCTAGGAGACAGAAGCCGGAACCTGCTGCTTCCCAGGGTCTACGTTAGCAGGAGGCTAGGAGACAGAAGCCGGAACCTGCTGCTTCCCAGGGTCTACGTTAGCAGGAGGCTAGGAGACAGAAGCCGGAGCTTGGAATTAAGCTCATGCACCAGTATGAATGCAGGTGTATTAACCTCTAGGCCACATGCCTGTCTCAGGTTATACTACAGCTTGTTTAGCCAGCACTCTATTGATGAGTATTTGGGTTTTTTCCTGTTTCCAATATTACAAACGATTTTTGAAGTTAACATGTGGGACTATTTCTTTATAATGAAGTCTGAAAAATTGATTTACTAGATCTTAAAGGCAGTCATAATTTCCATTTTTGTAGTTATTGTCAAACTTTCCCACACAATCATGCTTGCATTGCACACTTCCACCAACACTGGCATGTTCATAGTTCATAGTTTAGTTGCACAGCTAAGCCAGCCTAACACACAAGAAATAATGAGCCACATATGAGTTAGAAAAATAAAGCGTGAATTATACAAGAATGAGAGATAGGTGATTATTGTTATGTAAGGATTTAAAAACTTGAACTAGACCCTTGAGAGCAAGTTAGAGTTTTATGTTTGCTCATCAAATAGAAGGATGGTTCACATCCTTTCTGGGCCTATTCTACATGTAAATATCAAAATCACTAAGGCTGGGTGTATTGTGAAGACCTTCAGAGATTCAGGGGAGGAGTTTGGATTTATTTTGGTAGGAAATTGAGAGCCCATGCTGATTCCAAATATAGAGAAAACATGAGCAAGTCACGTTTCTGGTGTGGCAGCACTTTGTATTCCAAATTTCATTCATGAATATGCCGAGCCTTTGACATTTTGTTTGCAGAATTTCATATTGTATTTTTCATTTATGCATATTTTGCTTCTGCGGCTTTAATTCACTTCTGCGAATGAAGCACTTCACAGGGAAGAAGGGGAACAAAAACACAGGCTTCCGTTACCTGCACACTGCCATCCGCCCAGTCACAAAAGGCTTGCCTTCCTCAGCTCCCGCTTTCCTGTGGTTCCAGAACCTGTCTTGGCTTTCTGGAGTCTACAGAACCCAACCTAGAACCCAGAGCTCCTCAACAATTTGGTGACTTAATTCCTCCTGTGGCATAGCATTATGAGAGTACTTTAAAAAGTTCTTGGGAGGCCGGCGCCGCAGCTCACTAGGCTAATCTTCCGCCTGCGGTGCCGGCACCCCAGGTTCTAGTTCCTGTCAGGGCGCCGGATTCTGTCCCAATCGCTCCTCTTCCAGTCCAGCTCTCTGCTGTGGCCAGGGAGTGCAGTGGAGGATGGCCCAAACGCTTGGGCCCTGCACTTGCATGGGAGACCAGGAGAAGCACCTGGCTCCTGGCTTCGGATCAGCGCAGTGTGCAGGCCGCAGCGCGCCGGCCGCAGCGGCCATTGGAGGGTGAACCAACGGCAAAGGAAGACCTTTCTCTCTGTCTCTTTCTCTCACTGTCCACTCTGCCTGTCAAAAAAAAAAGTTCGTGGGAAATGCATATTATGGAAGCACTATGCATGAATTTCATTTTTTTTTTTGCACCAAAATAACCTTATCTTTTAATTGTACTTTTCTTTGTAAACTTTTTGGGCCCCTCGTATTCTTACCCTCCTATCCAGCATATGCAGGAAGCCTGCTTAATGTCAAAACAGAGTGCGACCTGGTGCTCGCTGCTGCATCTTTGTAAACGATTGTGTCCCCACCTGGGCAACATTGTGCCTTCCTTCTGCCAGTCCACCTTCCTTGTCTGTTCATCTCCAGCAAGCCTTCCTCAATTATTCCCCTAGAATCGCCTCTTCTCTATTCTTGGATAGCTACCTCAAGGCTTGAAAAATCAGTTTGCTCTGGAACCAATTATAATTGTCCTTCTGTCAGCCTGCCACTAAAACCTTTAGTTGTTGCACAGTTTGTGTCTGTTGAGCTTAAGAACTATGCAACCTAAATGTCCATCAGCTGCTGAATGGGTACAGACAACGTGGCACACACACACGATGCAATGCTACTCAGCAGTGAACAGGGTGAACAAGGGTCATTTACACATTGTGGATGGAACTAGATGCCATTATGTTATGTGAAATAAGCCAAGCAGAGCAAGACGGGTACCACATGATCTCACGCACATGTGAAGACCAAGAAAGTTGATCTCAGAGGCTGGTGATAGAAGGGGGTCGGGAGGGATGGAGAAAGGTTAATTAATAAGTATAATAAGCTGGGGCCGGTGCTGGGTTTGTCCATTGTCTGCAGCACCAGCATCCCAAATAGGTACCGGTTTGAGTCCTGGCTGCTCTGCTTCTAATCCAGCCCCCTGCTAGAGAGCCTGGGAAGGCAGCAGGGATGACCCATGTGCTTGGGCCCCACATCCACATGGGAGACCTGAATGAGCTCCTGGTTCCTGGCTTTGACCTGGTCCGACCCGATCCCGTCCCCTGCCCCCTCCCACCTTGTGGCCATTTGGGGAGTGAACCAACGGATGGAAGATTTCTCTCTTTCCCTCCCTCTGTAATTCTGACTTTCAGATAAATAAATAAATCTTATAAAAAGTAAGTATGAAGTTATAGTTAGATATGAGTTGGGAGTTCTGGTGTTCTGTTGCACAGGAGGAGGACTATAGATAATGGTAATGTTCTTCTTAAAGCTAGAAGAGATAGTGAATGTTTTCTTAGATGATTGAGAAGACAGACACGTTTGCCCTAATTTGGACGTTACAAAATGTATACACATATCAAAACATCACATAGCATCCCATAAATATGTACAATTTTTATGTCAGTTAAAAATTTCAAAGAAAGAATTATACTTTACCTACAGAGTGTATCTTGTATATTCTAGCAGCTCCCAGCAATGCTAAATCTAATATATTTTTCTTGCTTTTAGAACAACAAAAGAAACATACCGGAAACAAGTAAAACTCCTAAGTGAAAACCTGGAAAGAGAAAGTCAGAGATGGTAAAACAAAACAAAAAAGGTTCATCTCGGGTAGCTATACTATGTGTGGTGTTACTGAATAGTGCGGAGTGCTTGTTGGTTACTGGAATCCATGGAATGAGCGTGCTAATGAAGTTGTGTGTTTGTTTGACTGAGGTATTGAACAGAACAAAGTTTTCCTTCTGTTTCAATTGAGTGGGGTCACCAAAGAATGACATTGTCCATATCTGCACAAGGCCTGTTGTTCACCCAAGCTTCTGGGTGAACCACAGGGGAGGTGACCGGTGTGGGGACAGAGGAAAGTGGTTAACTTCTCTTGCCTCACATCCCTTTAAAGGGGAGTGATCATAGTACCCACCTTAAAAATTGTGAATGTAAATGAGATAAAATTCTACATGGGTACTTGGAAAATTCATGGAAAATTGAATTAAAAGATAAGTTTATTTTGGTGCAAAGAATTGTGAAATCCATGCATACAAGAGGTCATCAAAACATTCATGGAAAATTTGTATTGTGAAAAAACCATGCATGGATTTCAAAAATATTTTATACCAAAATAATCTTTTTAATTCCATTTTTTTACAAACTCTTTGAAGTCCTCTCATGCAAAATATTTAGGTTCATGGGTGGACCTACAATGGACTTGCTACACTTAGCTGTATTGTATTGTTGTTGTTATTGTTAATGTTATTATTGATGACTCCAATTTTCTTTCTTCTTCTTCCTTCCTTTTCCACTTTTCCCAAACTCCAAATATGTAATGTTTTTATATTTGTTAAGGAGGAAAATGTGAGAACTCAGAACACTGAAATCCTTTACTGAAATTTAGTTTATGGAACTTACTTGAACAATTTAGGTCATTCTGTTGCTGTCCCCACCTGGGCCTCGTCTTTGTCTACCTGCCCAGAGCCATGTCCATTCCTATCTTTTACCTCAAGCAAGGCGGGCCAGTGAATGTGTTTTGTCCACTGTCCTACTGGACAAACAGACATGACTTCTTACTCCTTGCAGTCAGTGTTTTGTCTTTTTTTGTTTTTCAGTTAATGTCCATAGTCTGCATCGCAAACAATTTTGTATCATCACAATTTGTTTTGCTCTGAATTCCTTTTGCTCTTGGGCGCTCTGCTATGTCAGTTTAACAGTCGTTCTCCTCGTCCTCATATCCAGTATCATAACACAGTGGAAAATAGCTTGTTTGAGAAAAAAGCATGCGCGCTGGAGAGTCAAAGCAAGGGCAGAGGTACAAGAACTTGCAGAAAAGCTTGAGCGAGCAGAACGCAGACGAGCTCAATTATTCCGAGAGGTAAGGGGACGCAAGGGACTTAGAATTATTGTAGTTCCCTGTGTTTCATATCAGTGATTCTCCTTCCATATTAAAAAACTTATTAAAAGGCATTTTCCCTTGCTGCTGACTTCTTGTGTAAATTGTTTCATTTCCTTGAGAACTGTATCCACTTGCGTGTTACTAGAGGAGTCCCGCAAGTGAGTAGCAGTTCTGTCCAGAATACGCTTGTGAAGCATGGAACCACACGTTGGTCTGAGGTCAGTGCTTAGGGGGACACGCTTGAAAAACAGGAGCCCAGCATCATCCATTCATCACCTGTGTTTACCCTCTGTCCTGCCCATTCCGGCCCCTCCCAGTCCTCAGGCCTTTTATAGGTGTGGTTTGGTGAACACCTAATTTCTAGAAGGGAAAAATAAAACCCCTCTCAGGGGTTACTGAGAAATCATATAATCTGAAGTCGCCGGCGCTGCAGCTCAGTAGGCTAATCCTCCGCCTTGTGGCACCGGCACACCAGGTTCTAGTCCCGGTTGGGGTGCCGGATTCTGTCCTGGTTGCCCCTCTTCCAGGCCAGCTCTCTGCTGTGGCCCGGGAAGGCAGTGGAGGATGGCCCAGGTGCTTGGGCCCTGCACCCCATGGGAGACCAGGAGAAGTACCTGGCTCCTGCCTTTGGAAGCACCTGGCTCCGGCCATGGCGGCCATTGGAGGGTGAACCAACGGCAAAGAAGACCTTTCTCTCTGTCTCTCTCTCTCACTGTCTGTCTACTCTACCTGTCAAAAACAAACAAACAAACATATAATCTGAAGTCAGAGACACATCTTGTGGAAAAGATGTAAATTCACCGGGCCATTTAAACTGCCTGGTTGACTGCTCAGTACGAGAGAAACGACAAACCTCATTTTTCTCCCACTAGACCACTCTTAGAGAAAAGGAGATCGAGGAATTTGTGGCACAGATCGACAAACTTACAGTAGAATTAAGAGAAGAAGAAGCAGAATTTATTACAAATGAAAAAATGCTAATAGAGGAGCTAACCAAATATGAGGTAAATTTTGTTTTATATATAACTACAATTTTGGATGACTATATGAGGGGGAGGGGAAATAACGTATCTTGCTCTTATCAGTTAAATGTAAAGTAAATCCATGAACAAGGCTTCCATTTCATTCTGAATCTATCTTTTTTTTCCCCTGAAAAAGTAGCACCACAAGATATATTTTTTTCAGGTAAAAAAAAAAAAGCACATGCTTCGATTATGTGGAGCTGTTGGCAACAGCCTTGGTGGCAGGTGGGACTGTGTGGGAAACCACTGGCAGGTGGCATGGGAACACTCATGGTTACTCTTCTTCTCCTCCCCTTCACTCTCTCTCTCTCTTTCTCTCCCCCCTCTCCCCAATAAACAATACATTTTAAAGAACTTACATTCTATTCTTAAATGTTGTAAAAATTCTCCAAAATTGTACTTCTCAATTCTTTGATTTTCTTTAAAGGAGATATTTGTTCAGAAAGCACAAATTAGTAGAGAAAAAGAAGATGAGCTAGTTGATCAGCTTCCACAACTTCAGATGGCAGAAGAAGAATACACAGAGAAGCACCGGAAGTTACAAGAGGTGTGCGCTATTCTTTCAGGTACGGGGCAGCCTCAAGTCCGGGCAAGGGTTTCCCTGTTCTCTTCCACCCCAGGCGAGCCATCAGTCACAAGCGAGTGGTGAACAGAACCAGGACTCCAACTCAGGCCTGCTAGTAAGGAGTGCAGGCATCCCGACTGGCGTCTTACCTGCTGAGCCCCCTGCATGGCCCTGTTTGGGACCGTGTCACCGCGATGCTATGCTAGAAGTTAGACACTTCTGAGGGCAAGTGACTTCCAACGTTAGCTACCCAGCCACACCATCAGTCACCGCCTACACATGTAGAAGAGAGACTTGCTTCAATATCGCAAAACAGTCACCTCATTTACACCTTCTCGTGAAGTTCATACCCGATTTGCTTCAACACATAGAATAAATCAAGAAAAAGAAGGGGATCTGAGATTCAGAACACAGGAGCTTCAGCTTCAGAGGACTGCAGGAGGAGCTCCCAGGAGGTCAGCCCGAGCCTTCGGAAGGCACGGCTCAGGATGGGTGGGAGGAAGGGGAGAGGGATGGGACTCACGGGTTCACTGCTGTGTGTCGCCACGTGGCCAGTAAGATCCAGAAAGATTCTGGGATCCTGTTGCAGCTGTTAGTATGAATGAATGATACTTACAGAGAACCCTGAGCAAATTCTAAAAAGTAAGGCATGTTTTAACTCTAGGAGAAGCTGCAGAAGCCAGCTCACAGTCCACAGTACTTGTCTTGTCATAAACATAAGAAAAATAGACTTTTCAGCCTGGAGCCACGGTCTGCTTTGTCTGTGACCCCACGAAGAAGGCCCCGGTGCTGTTGAGCACGACTGTGCCTTACTCGAAGCCTGCAATGCCACGTTTGGGCACTAAGTCAAGATTGAGCTGGTGCCTCCCAGCCCCGCTGAGATCCCTACGGCAACCAAAGCCTGAAAAAAAATAGTCTGTCGTGCTCAGATTGGTAGCTTCAAACAGATGACAGTTAAAGGAGCTGTGCTGAATGGTTGGGTGCCACTGAGGCGTGGATGTGGGTTTATATTGCACAGATCACAGGCAAGTGTGGCATCACTGGCTATAATTAACGTCTGATTATATTTGATTTCTTATTTGAGCAATTTGGGACAATGTATAATAAAACTGTTACCTGAATAGAACATGTCAAAAATAAATTTTTCTCTATCAGATACTACACAAAAAGTCCCAATTCCTCTTGATATTAAGTTGGGTTCTTTTGCTTTGATAGATTAATACAGCTCCGAATGCATATCTAGTTAGCCTGGAATCAGAAAGGATATGTGTGATCACATCAGCCTGGTACCACGAATATATGAAGATAGCGTGTTTTTTTGTTTGTTTTGTTTTGTTTTGTTTTTTGACAGAGTGGATAGTGAGAGAGAGAGACAGAGAGAAAGGTCTTCCTTTTGCCGTTGGTTCACCCTCCAATGGCCGCCGCGGCTGGCACGCTACAGCCGGCACACCATGGGGTGCAGGGCCCAAGCACTTGGGCCATCCTCCACTGCACTCCCGGGCCACAGCAGAGAGCTGGCCTGGAAGAGGGGCAACCGGGAAAGAATCTGGTGCCCTGACCAGGACTAGAACCCGGTGTGCTGGCACCGCTGGGTGGAAGATTAGCCTATTGAGCTGTGGCGCCGGCCGAAGATAGCATTTTAATTTGAAGGCTTGAAATATGTAAGTTTTATTTCCAGTGATGCCAAGGGAAAGGATTTCAGAAAACCAGAACCTGATATAGTAAGAGAACTAGTAATACTGTGTGCCAAAGTGCTGTGGTTAAATCACATCCGTAGTTACGTAGAATGCAGGGTGGACTGTTTCTCTTTGCTAAGAACACAGTCAGACCCTTTTAATAAGTTTTGTCTGTAAATTTCGGGGAACATCAGGTCAAGTTGAATAGAGCCTCCCCAAGACAGAATGGCAGAGTGGAAGTCTGAGGATGCATCTTTAACAGCAGACAGAGTAGATGAGAGCTATGACCTACATTTCACATCTGATTTTGATATGTTATTAATCTGATTTTATGCCGTTTAGTACCTGTCTTTGCAAAAAGAAAATGGCCCATAGTTATTTAAACAGAGTTGTAACTCTGTCATCTTGATGTATTATGTCCTGCAATGGATAAAAGTGATTGAGTGAAAGAGAAGGAGAAGAGAAAGAGGAAGAAAGGAAGGAAGAGGAAGAAAGAAAAAAAAATCACCTTGAAGCAAGCAAGCAAGAGCTGTCCATGTCACCCTCCCCCAGTTCCAAGGAGTGCAGGGAGGAGAGAGGCCTCTGCCTGGGACAGGGAGAGTAATGGAAGCCCAGTGCCAGGTCCACTGGGAAAAATTTCCAGTCGGACTGAGCCCTGCTGCCCTTGTACACAGCCTTCACCCTTGCAGTGAATATTTGAAGCTTCCAGAACAGGGCTGCTTCTGCCACCCACCTCCCAAGTGCTGTCAAACAGTTCAAGCTTCACCTGCAAGGAGAGGCTGAGAGAGGGAGCCCAGAACGGGGCCTACCATGCCAAGACACGACACCTGTAAAGCCCAGAGGCCTCTGCTCACAGGCTGAGCCTCCGACTCTCCCAGCATCAGGCAGAGCCCTGTGGCACGAGTCACTGCCATCCTTGGACGGGCTCGGGAGATGCTCCTGTGACTTTCTGGGGCCCCGGAGTGACCTGCCTGGGGTCCATCTGGATGACCAGAGGGCTGCCTTTTTCACATTCCTCTGGCCTTGGGTAACAGCAAGGGGCCATGGGACTGTGTCCTGGGACTCAGTGCTGAGCTGGTGCAGCCCACGCTGGGCACAGTGCCCTTGGCAGGCTCTCTGTCCCGGTATCAGGCAGAGATCTGTGCCTGGTGGGACGGGCTCGTTTTAGCATGTGTCATCACCAGCCTTTTGCAGGCCTGGTGTGCACTCCCAAGATTGTATTCAGCCTGGTGCTTGTGAGACCCAAGTGTGCCTACCTGGGGCCTGCCTGAGTGGCTGAGTCCACCTCTGTCGCTCACCCTACAACTTTCAGCAGGCAACAAAGAATCACGAGACTTGGGGGCTCAGTGCCGGGCTGGAAAAACCCATCACAGCTCAGATCCTGTTGGTCTCTGTTTCCAGGCCAGTGCCTTCGCACAGAGCCTCCAGGTCTGCTTTGGTGCCCATCGGAGTTCTGTGATGCTGGGTGAGCAGTCTCTTACCCCATCCCGCATCACCATTGGCTGATAGGTCAGCATCATGCACTGAGCCCTCTTGCGTAGCAGATCAGAGCAGGGTGAACTTTGGTCTGACCTCCAATGCTGATGTTCAACAAGCTAAAGAGCTTTGCACATCAAAGAAAGCAATCAGCAGAGTAAAGAGATAACATACAAAATGGAAGAGAATATTGGAAAGCTATCCATCTGACAAGTGGCTAATATCCAGAATACTTAAGGAACACAACTCAATTGCAAAATAAAAAATAACGCAATTAAAAAAACAGGCAGTGGATCTAAAGAGACATTTCTCAAAGGAAGACATGCAAATGGCCAGTGGGTACATGAAAACATGCCAAACTTCACTAATCATCAGAGAAATGCAAATCAAAACCACAGTGCGACATCACCTCACTCCAGTTAGTTTGGCTTTTATCAAAAAGTCAAATGATAACAAGTGTTGGCAAGAAGATGGAGAAGAGGGGACCCTTGCACACTGTTGATGGGACTATAAATTAGACAGCCATTGTGGAAAACAACATGGAACTTCCTAAAACAAAGTGAAGACAGAGCTAACCTGCAATCCAGCAATTCTGCCCCTGGGCAAGTATCCAAGGGAAATGGAATTCATTCTGTCAAAGAGCAATCTGCCTTCCCATGTTTCCTGCAGCTCTCTTCACAGTGTTTCCAAGAAACAGAAACAACGGAAGTGGCCATACGCTGATGAGTGGATAAAGAAAACGTGCATATAGACAACGGAATATTAGCCATACGGAAGGTTGAAATCTTGTCACTCACAACAACATGGACAAAACTGGAGTTTATGATCTTAGGGGAAATAAGCACATAAAGATGAGTATCCCACGCTCTCACTCACAGGTGGGGTCTGAACCAGGTCATCTCAAGTTAAAAGTAAATGGTGGCCGGCGCCGCGGCTCACTAGGCTAATCCTCCGCCTAGCGGCGCCAGCACACCGGGTTGTAGTCCCGGTCGGGGCGCCGGATTCTGTCCCGGTTGCCCCTCTTCCAGGCCAGTTCTCTGCTGTGGCCCGGGAGTGCAGTGGAGGATGGCCCAAGTGCTTGGGCCCTGCACCCCATGGGAGACCAGGAGAAGCACCTGGCTCCTGCCTTCGGATCAGCGCGGTGCGCCGGCCGCAGCGCGCCAGCCGTGGTGGCCATTGGATGGTGAACCAATGGCAAAAAGGAAGACCTTTCTCTCTGTCTCTCTCTCTCACTGTCTACTCTGCCTGTCAAAAAAAAGTAAATGGTGGTTATCACAGGCTGGGAGAAGTGAGGAGAGGTTGATCAGTGAGTACTAGGTTATAGAAAGGAGTAAGACGCTCTGGGGTTCTTACTGCACAGTAAGGTGACTATAGATAAGGTTAATGTACTGAATATTTCTATTTTTAAAATGTATATATATATTAAGGTTTATTTATTTACTTGAAAGTCAGAGTTACACAGACAGAGAAGGAGAGGCAGAGAGAGAGAGAGGTCTTCCATCGGCTGGTTCACTCTTCACTCCTCAGTTGGCCGCAACAGCTGGAGCTGCACCGATCTGAAGCCAGGAGCCAGGAGCTTCTTCCAGGTCTCCCACACAGGTGCAGGGGCCCAAGGACTTGGGCCATCTTCCACTGCTTTCCCAGGCCATAGCAGAGAGCCGGATTGGAAGTGGAGCAGCTGGGAATCGAACTGATGCCCATATGGGATGCCGGCACTGCAGGCAGCAGCTTTACCCGCTACACCACAGTGCTGGTCCCATATATATATATATATATATATATATATATATATATATATTTAAAGATTTATTTTTATTCATTTGAAAGGCAGAGTTACAGAGAGAGAGGGAGAGATAGAGATAGAAAGGTTTTCTATCCGCTGGTTCACTCCCCAAATAGCCACAACAACTGGGGCTGAGCCAAGCTGAAGCCAGGAGCCAGGAGCCTCCTCCAGGTCTCCCATGTGGGTACAGAGGCCCAAGGACTTGGGACATGTGCTGCTTCCGAGGCCATTAGCAGGGAGCTGGATCAGAAGTAGAGCAGCAAGGACTCAAACTGGCACCCATATGGGATGCCAGTGCTGTTACAGCATTGGCCCCTGTATTCTTCTATTGAAAACCCATGGAAGATAGGATTTTGGATGCCTTCACTACAAAGAAATGTTAAATTCTTGAACAATATGTTTATGCTGGTTGGGTATTATATAGTGTATATATGTAATGCAACATGACATAGCATCCCATAAATGTGTGTAACTTTTATATGCCTATTAATTTTTAAAAGTAAAAATGAAAGAAAATTAAATTTAAAAAATTATGAACCATCTTTACTTAATGTATACTAAATTGATCATCTGTATATATAGAAAATTGAAAATGAATCTTGATATGAATGGAAGGGGAGAGAGAGCAGGAAAGGGGAGGGTTGTGGGTGGGAGGGAAGTCATCAGGGCGGGGGGGAAGCCAATGTAGTCCATAAGCTGTACTTTGGAAATCTATATTCATTAAATAAAAGTTAAAAAAATTATGAACCAAGATATACCCATGTAAGTATATTTTTTTAAAAAGTTGGGCAAAATATAGAAAAAGATGCTACAAGAAGTTAAAAAGTGGTTGATTCTGAGGAGTCAGATGCAGGCATGGATTCAGCATTGGAGGGTGGGGGGGGATGCTGTTGGCTGGCTTGTTATAAGCATGATAATAGCATTTGACTATTAAAACCAGGCATGCCTCTTACTTTAGTTATTTTAACCAGAAGACTTTATGAGCCGTTATGTTGTTCTGTGTCTTCTTTAAATAGCACACAAGGAGGAGGAGAATATGATGAACAATGGCATTTATCAGTTCATGAGGGACTTTTCCAGATACTTTAACGATGCGGTAAGAGACTCTGTGCTTATTCTTTGATTCAGTAGAACCAGTGTAATGTAGATTCAGTAGAACCAGTGTAACCAGACAGTAATGTTTACCCGGCACCACGAGGTTTTCACGTAACCTACATTTGTTAAACTTACCCTTCCAGTGTTTTAAACTTTTAGTCACATATAGATACACATATGTAACATCTATATGTGCATGTGTATCTATGTGTGTATAGGTGTATGCGTGCATGGAGACAGAGAAAGGTAAATTCTAGAACCGACTAATGTGTAATAGCTGGAAAATTACTGGGTGGACCTTAGTTTCCTTATTTACAAGTTAGATACTGGACCGTGCTTATTAAGGATGAGTGTGCAAAGGTCATGAAGGGGTGCAGATGAAATAGGAACCAGTAAAGAAATATTTGCTACCTTTTTAAAATTAACAAACAACAGTTAGCGATAAGCTATCTAAGTGGAGCTGATTAATTTAAAATGGAACCATCCTATTCTCTGCAATGCACAGAAATAGGAGAGAGAAAATTGTAAGCATAATATGCATTGAGTTCTATTTTCATAGGAAGATGAGGCTGCTGACTATTAGTCAATGAATAAAGATCATGTATCTTTTTTAAAGATAATATTTACTTATTTGAAAGGCAGAACAGCCAGAACTGGGCCAGACTGAATCTAGGAGCTTCAGCTGGGTCTCCAATGTGGGTGCAGGGGCCCAAGCACTTGGGCCACCTTCCACTGCTTTCCCAGGTGCATTGGCAGGGAGCTGCATTGGAAGTGGAGCAGCTGGGACTTGAACCGGCACCCATATGGAATGCCGGCATGGTAGGCCACTGCTTTAACCCACTAAGCTACAGCACCAGTCCCAAAGACCATGTGATTTGTGACCAAGAACTGAGTGGGAACTGACTAGAGAATTCTGGAAAATTCATAAAGTAATTTGCTTCTTCCTTCCAGGAATATTAAATCCTCCTTTGCTGCTCCTCCGCACGCGGAGGAGCCGCACAGGACCGGACGCTTGTTGTTCCCCTTTTACAAGTCTTTTCTATAGTGAAGTAAGAATAAGCAAACAGCGAACTTCCAAAGCAAGAATGAGTAGAGAGAAATGAGGAAGAACAAAGCAGCGAACTCTCCAACCAACCCCCAACACCGTGCCGTCTCTCTCCTCTTTTATAGTCCTCTTCCACCGACCCCAACTCTGCTACCCACACGCCGAGCACGCTGCTCTCCTCCAATCAGGAGCAGGATCAGCTCCTGCAGGTTAATGGTCGAACTGGAGGCAGCTGTGTAAAAGTTGTTTACCCCTCTCCCAGCGCCATATTGTGGGAGAGCAGATGCATAGAATAAGTCTTAATTCCAGTAACTTAGTCTAGTCTCAGTTGCTCCCCACACTCCTTTAAGGGCTCAATAAATTCTCCCTCCCTATTTTTGCCAGAGAGTTGTTTATATATAAAAATAAAATTTTTGTGAGACTGTCTCAGTGTCTGGGGTTCCTTAAGTGGGGTCCATGAGTCCCCTTCCTGCAGTTTATGAATACAGGTTCATGACTTGGCTTTGGGATTTTGAAGTTTTTCTAAGGGAAGATGATCATAGAGTCAGCCCCGTGCTTCAGGACCAAATTGAGAACACTGCTCTGAGTGTGATCTATATAGTCGAATGCCCAGGTGCCCCACTCTTGAAATCCTGTAAGGCAATGATGGGTTTTATGTTTGGGCAGGGGAAAGTGAAGCAAGAAGTAAAACACTTACGAGATCAAGAAAGCAAAAAAATTAAAGACCATTTTGAAATTCTCAAGAGCTTGGAAAATGAAATCTACGTAAATGATCAAAAAGTAGAGCTTTTGCTTCTGGAAAATAAAAGATTAAAAGAAGTAAGTTCAAGAGCATCTCGCGTTGCACAATGATTTTGTTTGACTGCCTGGATTGGTAATAGTTCTGACAGAAAAGATGAGAATAGCTATTAAAATCACTGGTCTGCAGCTCAGTGAACACCCCTGTGCAGTCGGCACACAGATCAGGAAAGAAAGCATCAACAATATCCAGCCTTCTCCACCCCTTGCAGGCACAAACTTCCCTCCCATCAGTGACTATTTTCTTTTTTAAAAGATTTATTTATTTATTTATTTGAAAGCCAGAGTTACAAAGAGAGAGGGAGAGGCAGAGAGAGAGAGAGAGACCTTCCATCTGCTGGTTCACTTCCCAAATGGCCCCAATGGTGGGGCTGGGCCAAGCCAAAGCCAGGAACCAGGAGCTTCTTCTGGATCTCCCACGTGGGTGCAGGGGCCCAAGCACTTGGGCCATGCTCTGCTGCTTCCCCAGGTGAATTAGCAGGGAGCTGGATTGGAAGTGGAGCAGCTGGGACTTGAACCAGTGCCATCAGCACTGCCCCCACTCCCATAGATGACTTCTGCCACCAGAATAGTTACTTGATTTTGAATACTACCAGTATGTATGAATGATACAGTATACACTCTGTTGCTTAACATCATATTTGTGAGCTTCATGCTTACTATAGGTTGTAGTTAGTTCAATAATCCTAGTTCTGGGTAGTATTCCACGGTACGCCCATACCACAATTTATTCATATACTCTGCTGTTGATGGTGTTTGGAGAATTTTGAACTTTGGCTTGTTAGAAATAGTGTCGCTATGAGCATTCTAGAGTAGGTTTTTGATGCACGTATCTACTTGTTTCTCTTGAGTGTGCATCCCAAATGGAATTACAGGGCCATTGGGTCGCATGCCTTCCACTTCAGTGCATACTGCCAATAGCTCCTCCCACCAGCAACGCACAAGGGTGCCAATCAACACTTTCTCTTTAATTTTTAATAATTTATTTGAGAGACACACAGAATGAGAGATAGTGTTCCTATCAGCCGGTTCACCCCCCACCAAATGCCCACACCAACTGGGGCTGGTGCAAGCTGAAGCTGAGAGCTGGAGCTCAATCCATGTCTCCCATGGGTGGCGGGGACCCAACTTCTTAAGCCATCACCTGTTAACCACCTAGGGATCTGGAGCACAGGGTGGTCAAAAGAGAAAGTCACGACTTTTTTTTTTTTTTTTTTTTTGACAGGCAGAGTTAGACAGTGAGAGAGAGACAGAGAGAAAGGTCTTCCTTTTTCCGTTGGTTCACCCCTCAATGGCTGCTGCGGCCGGCGTGCCGCAATGATCCGAAGCCAGGAGCCAGGTGCTTCTCCTGGTCCCCCATGCGGGTGCAGGGTCCAAGCACCTGGGCCATCCTCTACTGCATTCCCGGGCCACAGCTGAGAGCTGGACTGGAAGAGGGGCAACCGGGACAGAATCCGGTGCCCCGACTGGGACTAGAACCTGGGGTGCCGGTGCCGCAGGCGAAGGATTAGCCTAGTGAGCTGCGGCACCGGCTGAAATTCATGACTTTTAACACGTAGACTGCCCACTTCACCCACTTCAAGGGAGAGTTGCATGGGGAATTCCAGATCCCACGCTGCTTTATGCCATCTCCTGCGCATACATTTTTGCAAAAGTATTTCTGTTGCAGACCTCATGCGCTGAGGCAGAACAACTTTTGGTTTCCCTTTACATTCAAACTGCCCTGCTGCTTTGGTGCTCAATGGGAAGCAGTGACTTCCATCTCCCTCCCCAGAATACAAGGGCATTCACCCCTGTTAACTCTGCACACGGCGCAGAGGAGGAATAAATCCATGCTGGCTGAATGATTGTGTGGGTCATTAATCTACGGCAACTCAACGGCTGAAAGTAATCCCATGCCTTTACTTTCTAGTATATTGCGTATCTGAAGGGCAGCACAGAGAAATGGAGGAATGGACAGGAAGCCCTCAGGCATAACTTCAGTAGCCTCTCCTGGCAACTGATAGTTCAGCAGAGTAAGTAATGAGCCATGGGTACTCTTTACATATATTTTTATTTTGCTTAAATCAAATTCATTGGTTTGCATACAATAAAATGCACATACTTTAAGCTCCATGAGATTCAACAAATGTACACGCCACTTAAACCACTACAGTTACAGGAAAGATCTAGAACATTTTTGTCATTGCAGAATTCACGCCATGTCCCTTCACAGGCCATTTCCTCGTCACCCACCTCTAGTTCCTGAAAACCATTGATCTGCTGTCGACCCCTAATGATCAGATAAAAGAGGTAATGGAGTATGCACGCTCCTCAGCCCAGCTTCGTGCACTCAGCAGAACGTTTTTAGATCCATCCGTGCTGGTGCTTGTGTCGCCAGTTAGCAGTTCTTTTCCACAGCAGTGTTCTATGGTGTGCAAAGACCATCTTCATTTATCCATTCACCAGCTGAATGGCACTTGGGTTTTTCCATCTTGCAAAGTTGTTATAAGTGAAGCTATTGTGAATATTTGCTGACACACATTTTTGTGGATATGTTTTCATTTCTTTTGGGTAAATACCCAGGAGTGGAATCGCTGGATCATGTGGTTTGTGTATGATTACCTTTGTAAAGCACTACCAGACCGTTCACCAAAGTGGTTGTACAATGCAGTTTCTTATCCTACTAGCAGCTAGCAACGTAGAAAAGTTTCCCTTGTTCATATCCTCACCAGCACTTAAGATGTGTAAAACAATGAAGAGTGCTAACATTGTAACCATTTAAATAGGAGTGGAGTGGTAATTCATTGTGGTTTTTATTTGCATTCCTCTGATGTGTGATGTGGTCAAGTATATTTTCACTGGGTTTTTTTTTTTTTGCTTTATTTGCTGGTTGGTCACCATCTCTTTGTGAAGCTCCTCGAATCAGTTGTCTATTGCAGGGTAACAAATACCACAGACATGGGGCTTCAGACCCATCATTTACTGTGCTCACAAGTTGACAGCTTGATCAGAGTTTGGTGGCGACAACTTGTGTCTGCTCCTATAGGGTCACCTGGGGTGACTGGGAGACTGGGGTTAATTCCACAGCTGGGAACTGGAATCATTGGAAGACCCACTCTCTCAAGTGCATGGAGGTGATGCTGGCTCTGAGCTGCATCTCGTGGGGGCTGTGGAAGGAACAGCTCCTCCCGGCCTCTCTCAGGAGCTGCTTGGCCTGCTGAGTTCCAAAAGCAAGCATCCCAAGAGAACAAAATGCAAGTTCATGGCATTTTATGGGCAAGCCTCAGACGTCAGAGTGCTGCTTCCCGAATGCTCTGACAGTCGAGGCAGCGGCCCAGGTACAAGGGGAGGGTGCACAGACACGAGCACTCAGTGGGAGCGATGTCAGCAGCGAGCTGGGGAAAGAGCACACGTAATAGACTGTGGGGTGCTTCAAAGAGTGCCTGGAAAATGGGATTCAAAGGGAAGTTTGTTTTGGTGCAAAAATTCTTTGAAACCCACTTATATAAAGGGTTTTCGAGAAATGCATGGATATGCAAGTTATAAAAAAAACCATACATGGATTTCAAAAACTTTTTGCACCAAAATGAACTTTGAGTTTCATTTCCCACAAACTTTATGAAATACGCGCATGTATCCTAGCGTTCTTTGGAAAATGCAGCCTGTCAGAGCTCTCCAAATCCGGTGCTCCTTAGTTCACGCTGTGTTCTTACTGTTGAGTTACCATCTTCACCGTTCTGAACGTAGGCCCTTTTCAGACTGAGGCTTCACGTTCCATTTCCTTAGTGGTGGCCCAGAGAGGAAACAGTTTTCCCTTGGATGAAGTGTACTTTATTTTGGCTTTTAAGATCAGTACTTGGGGCTGGCGGGGTGGCGTAGTGGGTTAAGCTGCCACCTGCAGGCTGGCATCCCATGTGGGTGCCAGTTCGAGTCCTGGCTGGTCCACTTCCGATCTAGCTCCCTGCTAATGCATCTGGGAAAGCAGCAGAGGATGGCCCAAGTGCTTGGGTTTCTGCACCCACCTGGGAGACCCAGAGGAAGTTCCTGGCTGCTGGCTCCTGGTTTGTAGCCATCTGTGAGTGAGGCAGCAGATGGAAGACCTCTCTCTGTCTCTGCCTCTCCCTCTCCCTCTGTAACTCTGCCTGTGAAATAAATAAATAAATCTTTTAAAATGAAAAAGGAATGCAGGAGCTCTCAAGTCAAAATACGATATGCTCGAGGGGTATGACTGCCAAAACATGACAGCAGTTATCACAGTGGTTTGTTCTGCTGCAGAATCACTGGGACTCTCAGACTGAAAAAAAGATTTAGAAAAAAAGATCAACACTTTCTGTGTCCTGCATAAAAAATTTTTGCCTGTTCCAAGGCCTTGAAGTGCTCCCCTATAACTTCTTTAGTTTTAGCTTTTATGACTAGCTCTCCAGTTCATTTCGTATGAACTTTTTCATATGGTGTGAGGTAAGGGCTGAAGGTCATGGTTTTGTCTTACACATATTCAGTTATTCCAAGGAGCATTTAAAAGAAAAACAAAACTTATTTATCTGAAAGGCAACAGAGACAGAGACAGAGAAGGAGAGAGAAAGAGAGATCCTCCATCTGCTGGTTAACCCCCAAAGTGGCCGCAAGGGCCGGGGCTGGTACAGGCCAAAGCCAGGAGACAGAAGCTTCTTCCAGGTCTCCCACATGGGTGCAGGGGCCCAAGCACTTGGACCATCTTCCACTGCTTTCCCAGACCATTAACAGGGAGCTGGATTGGAAGTGGAGCAGCCAGGACTCAAAGTAGAGTCCATCAGGGATGTCGGCACTGCAGGTGATGGCTTAACCCGCTATGCCACAGCACCAGACGCCCCCCTCCCCCAGCGGCATTTTTTTTTTCTTTTTCTTTTTCCTTTTTTTTTTTTTTTTTTGACAGGCAGAGTGGACAGTGAAAGAGAGAGAGAAAAAGGTCTTCCTTTTCCATTGGTTCACCCTCCAATGGCCGCTGCAGCCGGCACACCGCGCTGATCCAAAGCCAGGAGCCAGGTGCTTCTCCTGGTCTCCCATGGGGTGCAGGGCCCAAGCACTTGGGCCATCCTCCACTGCACTCCCTGGCCACAGCAGAGAGCTGGACTGGAAGAGGAGCAACCGAGATAGAATCCAGCGATCGGGGCTAGAACCCGGTGTGCCGGTGCCGCAGGCGGAGGATTAGCCTATTGAGCTGCGGTGCCGGCCCCTAACGGCATTTTTGACAAGGTTATCATTTTCACCACTACCCCTGCGACATTCTGAAAAATCATGGTGTTTTTTGTTTTTTTGTTTTTTTGTTTTTTTGTTTTTTTGTTTTTTGACAGGCAGAGTGGACAGTGAGAGAGAGAGACAAAGTTCTTCCTTTTCCGTTGGTTCACCCTCCAATGGCCGCCGCGGCCGGCGCGCTGTGGCCGGCGTACTGCGCTGATCTGATGGCAGGAGCCAGGTACTTCTCCTGGTCTCCCATGGGGTGCAGGGCCCAAGCACTTGGGCCATCCCCCACTGCACTCCCGGGCCACAGCAGAGAGCTGGCCTGGAAGAGGGGCAACCGGGACAGAATCCGGCGCCCCAACCGGGACTAGAACCCTGTGTGCTGGCGCCGCAAGGCGGAGGATTAGCCTAGTGAGCCACGGTGCCGGCCAAATCATGTTTTGAGTCTGTTATTTTATTGTAAATGTTTTAATTTAATACCAGTATGACACAGTCCTGATTGTAGGTTCATATGCAGTTGGGAAATCAGGTAATTTAAATTTGACATCTTGTGCATATTTTAAAAATCATTTCAGATATTCCGAGTACTTTGATTTACATATAAATTTTAGAGTCAGCTTCTACACACACACACATACACACGCACAAGCCTGCTCGGATGTTAACGGGTTTGTGTTGAATCTGTAAATCAATTTTGGGAGAATTGCCATCTTAACCAATTTAAGTCTTCCATTTCAAAACATATCGTATGAACAGTCTTCAAAAAGTTCATAAAAATATGTTAAGGAAAGCTATGCATGAATTTCAGTTTTTTACAACAAAATAAACATCATTGAATACCATTTTCCTTCAAGTTTTCAAAGTGCCCTCATTATCACCAGTTATAGAGGTCCTTTAAAATTTCTCTCAGCAAGATTTTGCAGCCTTAATGTAGTATCAGGTGTCCCAGGACCAGCCTCGGGTGTGGTGATGAGCTGGGAGGCACAGAGGATGCAGAGGTTGTACTCACGGGTGTTTTGGTTATGGTGAAATCAACAAAGGGAAACCCACGGAGGCTCATGGGAGCAAGCTTTTAGGCTTCCTGTCCCAGTGGAGTCACCCAGAGGCACTTGATTTCGCTGCAATAGGCTGTGACCACACACGCACAGGGCTGCCAGTGGGGAGGTCCCACCCCCAGGCTGGGTGTCCAGGTGCATTCTGGGGGTCATGTCTAAGGCGTGCAGTGCTCGGTTGCCTGGCCTCTGCTGCCCGCTGAGACACTTGATGCAGTCCCCCCGGATGCTGTCAGTGTGACCGATTGCATCCCGAATATCCATAAAACCCATGTGCACAAATCTGTTACTGAGTTCCATTTGCTAATCTCTATGCAGATGTTTGTGTCTGGGTGCAAGACTCCATTGTCCACCCTGTGGCCTGGAGAGGGCCCCCCAGCGGCCGATAACTGGAGACAGTGGGGTTCCCCTCCTGGTCCCCTTCTTTCAGGTGTGGCGGTCCTGTGTTGCTCTCTCCCCAACATCTGAAAACATTGGTTTCACATCTTTCGCCCCCTTGTCTGTGTGTTTGCAGAGGGAGCACAAGTCTGATCTAGTTGTTCTTTTATATTGGGAGTAGAAATTTTTAGATTAAAGTGATTTTTGAAAGATAAAAACCAATAACAACAGTTTATATAAATGTCCAGGGTATTTGAGTAACCACCGTATTTCTTTAATCTTCATTTTAGCATATTATGTGGATCTGTGGACTGACTTTCAGACCATGGTTAAGGTGAGTATTTTTGTGTGCTGCCTCCATAAATACCATATTTTCTTCATTTACCTGATGTGTGTGTGTGGGTTGTGTGTGTGTGTGTGCACATGCACAGTTTGTGCCAGAGCGGGAGTTCAGGATCGCAGGGGAGCGACAGAGCTGTGTGACCATCGCACCCGAAAATGCGTGCCTTGCTCCAAAGACCCCTGTGAAGTTTTAATCCTTGGAGAACCTGTCTTCCTGTTCTGCCACTCACAGAGGGAAAGGCTTTTTTTTGCTTTCTTCCTCCTTTTTTTTTTTTTTTTCTTTTGGGCCAGCTCGAATGGAATCACATTTTGTTTCAGGACAAAGCTGTGGGTTCTGAACTCCCCCATCGTGTTTATAAGAGAGATTTCTTTGAGATGAAGCTATTGAGGCTCAGAGAGCTTAAGTAACTTTCCCAACACTAAATATGCAGTGAACTTGTGGGAATTTATTTAAATTTTTAATTAGTTTTTAACAGATTGGATGTGCTTTGTAGATACAATTTTTTTTTTTTTTTTTTACACAGGCAGAGTGGACAGTGAGAGAGAGAGAGACAGAGAGAAAGGTCTTCCTTTTGCCGTTGGTTCACCCTCCAATGGCACCCACAGCCGCGCTGATCTGAAGCCAGGAGCCAGGTGCTTCTCCTGGTCTCCCATGGGGTGCAGGGCCCAAGCACTTGGGCCATCCTCCACTGCACTCCCTGGCCACAGCAGAGAGCTGGCCTGGAAGAGGGGCAACTGGGACAGAATCCGGTGCCCCAACCGGGACTAGAACCGGGTGTGCCGGCGCCGCAAGGTGGAGGATTAGCCTAGTGAGCCGCGGCGCCGGCAGGTAGATACACTTCTAAGAACACACTGATATTCCCTTCTTCCCTCCCTCCCTCTCTCCCTCTCTTCACCTCCCTTCCCCCCCCCCCACCCTCCTTCCTTTTCCCTTTCTTTTTTTAGCTTTTGAGGTAGCAGAATTTAAATTTACATTGCAGTAAAAAGGCTTAGTACTTAACCAGATAAGAAGTTTAACAAGTAAAAATCAAAAAGAGCCTAGTTTACTGGGAATGTAGACAAGGGCTGTAAACAATAATTGAGTGGAACAACATCCATTTCATTGAGCTTATGGGAACTTAAAGCTCAGAGCCTACCTGACTCCCAAGTTCTTTCTCTTACGCCGAGTCTCCTTTGCAGTTTTCTGCTGCTCTGAGGGTCAGCTGGCTCTTTATGCCACCACTCCCCACTGCCTTATGCAGCTAAAGCTGTGAGGCCAGTGAGCATTGCATTGAATCTTTTCATTCCATAATCTGTTTCTATGAGATCGCTTACAGAACTTTGTGAATTAGCAACTTTACACACATCCTCATTGGTATGCCTGATCCTATTTGTATATCTAATGTTTTAGGGGCATGATCCGCTCAGAATCTGTTTCTATTTTGTTGCAATCTGTATTCGTGCACCCAAATATACCATCTCTTTAAGGACTTGGTGTGCACCGGCGAAAAGACCTTGCAAGAAATAAAAAATCTAATAGATAAGCTGTACGAAAGGGATGAAAAAATCGAAAGTATCAGTACTTGGCTCCAAGGGAATCTGGAAGAGCTGCGTTCTCTCATGAAGCAGGAATCATCAGTGGACCTGCGTCGTAAGTTTATCACTCAGCTTCTCACCACCGCAATGAACTACCAGAGGAAACTATAAGGAGACACGGGCTTATTGAGCTTACAGTTTTGGAATTTCAAGTCCAAGATCGGGCAGCCCTGTAGGTCTGGTGTCTGATGAGGGTGGTGCCAGCAGTGAGTGTGTGTGGAGCAACAGTCACATGGTGAGGCTATGCTTTTTTTTTTTTAATTAATTTATTTATTTGAAGGTTAGAGTTACACAGAGAAAGAGAGGTAGAGACAGAGAGAGAGGTCTTCCATCCGCTGGTTCACTCCCCAATTGGCCGCAGCGGCCAGAGCTGCGCCGATCCAAAGCCAGGAGCCAGGAGCCAGGAGCTTCTTCCGGGTCTCCCGCATGGGTGCAGGGGCCCAAGGACTTGGGCCATCTTCTACTGCTTTCCCAGGCCATAGCAGAGAGCTAGAGCATAAGTGGAGCAGCCGGGACACAAACCAGCGCCGACATGGGATGCCGGCACAACTTCACCCTTACTTCTTGAGCTGAATTTGGCAGGAAAACAGCAACTGTTTTCTTCCCTGAAAACCCAGCGATGCCTTCTGGGCCTCGTGAGCAAGCAGCCCAGCCTCTCCGGAGGCATGCTCCCCTCCGCCCCGTCCCTGGCCCACATCCTGGTAGGCGCAGCACAGGTGAGGGCTGCAGCAGGAGATGGAGGGGACTCCTCGTGCAGTGTGAGACGGGGGAAGGGGACAGGGAGTGGGGAGGAGGAGGCAGAGCAGAGGCTGGGGGAGAGAGGGAGGGAGGAGACGGACGTGGGCTCGTTCGGCAGTGGTACAGGTCCATCTGAGGTGTTTGGGTTTCATTTTAAGGAACATGATATTAGACGGCTACTTTAAAGGCAGGCGAGAAAGTAAAGTGTGATAAACATGTAGAAAGTGAAATGTGATCAAAGGCAGGCAAAATGAGGGGAAATGACAGGATTAAAAAGATTCCATTCTCTGGTAAAGCTGTGCCGGGGTATCGCTCCGCAGAAGGAGTGGTGCTTCAGTGACCAGTGACGATCGATCGCTGGCAGTAAACTCTCATCAGCTGAAGGCGTTTCCAGAGGCCCAGGTGAGACTTCTGGTGTGCACGGGCCTCGCTTCTCTTTGCATTTTCTTTGCTAGGCCCAGCCATCCCCTTTAACTGTCAGTCAAGCGGAGTTGTAGGAGCTGAATTATCTCTGAGTGTCGCCTGCCCTGGTTTCACACAAGTGAGTCTTCTGTTCTTACTGGAAGCCTGATGGGGCTGTGTTACAGCAAGTTTGTTTATTTATTTATTTATTTGACAGGCAGAGTGGACAGTGAGAGAGAGAGACAGAGAGAAAGGTCTTCCTTTTGCCGTTGGTTCACCCTCCAATGGCCGCCACGGCCGGCGTACCGTGCTGATCTGATGGCAGGAGCCAGGTACTTTTCCTGGTCTCCCATGGGGTGCAGGGCCCAAGCACCTGGGCCATCCTCCACTGCACTCCCTGGTCACAGCAGAGAGCTGGCCTGGAAGAGGGGCAACTGGGACAGAATCCGGCGCCCCGACCGGGACTAGAACCGGGTGTGCCGGCACTGCTAGGCAGAGGATTAGCCAATTGAGCCGTGGCGCCGGCAACAACAAGTTTAAGTAGACTGCATTCAAAGCAAGTCTCACTGAGGAACTGACAGCACATCCTCTATTTTCATCCGGTTTGAGGATCGTCGTGATTAGTCACCTGCGGAAAGGAGGCGATAGCAAACGCAGACCACTCGGATGAGTGAGAGCCATTCACGCAGAGTTAGCTGTAGCAGTGCAGTTAGCCCCGACTCATCCATTTAGGCTGTTGTAAGAACCCTCTGTAAACTGAGTGGCTTGTAAATAATGGAAATTTGCTTCTCACAGTTCTGTAGGCTGGGAAGTCAAGAGCGAGGCTGTGGCAGCTTCAGGGTCTGTTAAGAATCCCCTGCCTGGGGCGGGGGCTCTGTTGTAGCAGGGGTGTGGCCTGGGGTGTGGACATCCCTTGGGGTGCTGGTTCAGTCCCAGCTGCTCCACTTCTGGTCCAGCTCCCTCTGGTGCACCTGGAAAAGCAGTAGAGGATGGCCCAGGTGCTTGGGCCCCTGCCACCCACATGGGAGACCCAGAGGAAGCTCCTGGCTGCCGGCTTCAGCCTGGCCCAGCCCTGGCCATTGTGGCCATTTGAGGAGTGAACCAGCAGATGGAAGACCTCTCCCTGTGGGGAGCAACCCGGACTAGACTAAGTTACTGGAATTAGGACTTATTCTATGCATCTGCTCTCCCACAATATGGCGCTGGGAGAGGAGGAAACAGCTTCTACACAGCTGCCTCCAGTTCAACCAATAGACTGTGGGACCTGCTCCTGATTGGAGGAGAGCAGCGTACTCGGCGTGTGGGTAGCAGAGTTGGGATTGGCGGAAGAGGACTATAAAGGAGGAGAGAGACAGCATGCACCAGGAACATCTAGGGGGAACATATATCTGAAGGAACACCTGTGCAGCCCCCGAGAGAGCCGGCCGGCGGTGTGCTGCTCCCCCGCGGAAGTGGGGAATGTGGCAGGGGGAACCGCCCTTCCACGGAGGTGGAAGGGTCGGCAGCCAACCCGGGAAGAACCAGCAGCAAACCCAGGGAGGGCCGAGCAGACAAAAGAACAGCGCAGGGTCCTGTGTCGTTCCTCCACGAAGAGGGGGAGCGACATCTCCCCATTTCTCCCTCTCTCTCTCTCTGCAACTCTGCCTTTCAAATAATGAATGAGTCTTTTAAAAAATGCAGGGACATCACCCACCCCCCCAAAAAAAAAAGACTCCCCTTCCTGGTTCGTGGATGGCACCTTCCTGCTGTGTCCACAAAGCCCCTTCCAAGGCCTGCCTCATAACCCCGCCCCACTGGGAACCAGGTTACAACACATGAACTGGGGGGCAGGGGAGCATTCAGACCACAGCAGCCACCATCCCTGCTTTTAGCAGACTCCAGAGCAGGCAGGGGGAGTGGGAAGCCCGGTGAGGTCTGGTTGGAAGGTGTTGGGCGGGGAAGCCGGCAGCAGGCTCACCAGAAGGCACACGTGTTTTGGGCTGGATTAGAGCATATTTGGCTTTCTCAGGTCAGTCCTCCAATATTATTGTTGCATAGGCACTAATGAGATAAGGAAGCTGCCAGCTGTTGACCGAGTCCTGCCTGTCCTTGGCCAGTGGCTGCGGCGGCTGTGGTGAGGGTCAGAGTCATTGTCCCACAGGAGCTGGCTGCCCTTGATTTGTTTATTTGGTCTTTCAGCAGGGAATGAATGTTTACTTCCATTTTCAATTTAAAACGTCATACTCAGAATCATGGTTGCTTTGAATGGAAGCACACCCAAACAGAAATAAGTAGTAGAGCAATCTGGTGAATTCCATCCAGTCGGCTCAGCCATTTAATTAAAACTGAAATTCGTTTGACGGGCAACTGGTATAATGTAGGACTCATAATTAAAGTGCACATGTTCCGGAGAGCTCCATTGTCTGAGTGTTACAAGTACAAAAAGCATAAACAGTCAGACGCAGACACACGCACGCCCCTGTACATCTGAACGTCCACCCTCAAGCATCGTCACATCTCAACATTCTGTGGCATTTACTAAGATATTTTCCTCCCAAGAAACAGAACATGACAGATAGAATCCAAGGCCCTTACAGGAGGGGCGACGCTACACGTGAATTTCCACTATTGTTCTGTTCCGAACCGAGCTTATCTTTTAATTCTCTTTTCCCATAAAACCTTTGAGGCACCTCTGTAGGTTTCTGTCCAATTCCATCTCCCCGCCTTCCTCTCCGCATCACCCGGAGGAGAAGCAGGGGGCGGGGCCCAGCCGGAAGAGGCCTGCGCCCGCCCTCCTGCCTCCCCCACTCAGCGCTCTTTCCCGCTTTGTTCCCCGTCTTGTGATTTCCTTTGCTTGCCAACTTGGCTCTGTATTGGAAAGGAAATTGGTTCTCTCCACCCCCCACCACCCCCTCCCCGCCGTGCAGGCCCACTGAAGGCGCCCCCTCCCCTCTGCAGCACACCTGGCGAGTGCCCTCCTCCATTATTCCCCGCAGGACTCCTATTTCCATTCGCCTGTGGTTTCCCTAAGGCTCCCTGACAGCTGGGGTCGTTTTGTTTGTGCCCCGTTTATCTCTTGGGTGTAGCACCGGGCCTCACACAGAAGCGCCTACTCAGTGTTCTACAGTAGGGACTCACTCAATGCTGATAAAGGGAGAGAACAAATACCTCCTCTTTAGAGTCTCCCACCCGGGCAGTGTGGCAGCGTGAACTTCACTTTAAGTGGCTGGACCTGGAATCCAGCCCTGACTGTCAGTTCTGGCAGATGGTCCTGGAGTGGTCACGTGGGAGCGCTGTCCCCCATCTCAAACTGCAGCTGAAGGCAGGGGACTTCAAGGGTTAATGATGTGGACTCTGGATCCCTGATTCTAGTTCTAGAGCAACTAAGGATCTCCAAAGTGGAGTAAGATGATTGACTCACACAGCAGATGCAAGTATTAGAAATTCTGTCTTACTCAACTTTATTTAAAGATTGATTTACTCGAACAGCAGAGTGACAGAGAGAGGCAGAGACAGAAAGAGAGGGTCCGTCCGCTGGTTCACTCCCCAAATGGCTGCAGTGGCTGGGGCCGGAGCAGGTCGAAGCCAGGAGCCTGGAACTCCATCTGGGTCTCCCACGTGGGTGGCAGGGGCCCAGCGCTTGGTCGTCTTCCTCAGGCACATGGAAGGGAGCTGGGTCAGAAGTGGAGCAGCCGAGACTCACACTGGTGCTCCAGGCTGGGCTGCCCGCGTCACAGATGGCGGCTTAACCTGCTGCTCCACAATGCTGGCCCCTCTTTCATTCAACTTCTCTTTTATTTATTTATTTATTTTATTTGAAAGATAGAGTTAGACAATGAGAGAGAGAAAGAAAGGTCTTCCTTCCATTGGTTCACCCCCCAAATGGCCGATATGGCCGGAGCTGCACTGATCCGAAGCCAGGAGCCAGGTGCTTCT